TTTTGCACTAATAACAGATACTGTACTGTAGGCTTTCAGATTGTGTTTTTGACACTTTAAAACATCCTATAACGTGTGACAAATTTAAGAATATTTAAGGGCGATGGTAACAACATTCACCACATTGTTCTTTAATGTAACAAGTTCTGCTATTTCGATCGACCGTAACCGAAATCAGATCGCTGTCAGATTTGTTTACATTGTGTCATGGCTTTCTCGCCTGTCTCATTTCAGCTTTATGGTGTACCAACTCAATGCCCAGTATTGACAAAACACGTTAAGCAAAAACAATTTTGTAGTTACAAGAATTGCCTGTGTTTATAACACTTGCAAAGTCTTAAAGTGCTATTTGTTGTCATCTATTGGTAATGATTTTGCACATGTGCGAAAGTGTGTAAATTCGTGCAAATTCTCACCCTCAAGCAGACAAAGGTTTCGTGAGCGATGGTGCAGGCATTTCATTGATCGTGAGGCATATCGCGCTCCTTGATCCGCTTCAAATCTTTTGTCTCGACCATAATGGTCGTGTTAAAAGTACACATCAAATCGCAGCAATATGTTACAGATATAGCGAGTGTGAATGGCATAATACGAAGCACATCGCTTCCGAGGCATCGTTTGACCCCGGAAATAAGTCTGACAAATCCACACAGCGCGCCCGGCCTGCTGATTGGTCAAAATTGACGCATGCGCCAGTTTTGATTGACAGACTGGATCGGTCTATTGGAACGTCATCCACGCAATACAAATGTATGATATTCAAAAATTGATGAAACTGAGTTACTGAAAATGAGTATGGATTTCGTCAATTGGAAACTTATTGATGAAATACGATTGATTAATCGTTAAACATGTCTCTATATGTTAATTATTCTTTGTCCATCTTGCAGTGTATTCTTACTTAATTCATATTTTCAATTTTGAATTGACAGTTAAATGTCGGTGGATATCACAAATGCGTATCCTCGTCTGTTTGTAGATGGCAACATCCCAGAAACTGGAGGAAAATTGCCTCACATGCACCATATGCACAGACATATCTGAGTGTGACATGGGTGTGTATGAGATGTACCAGGGATGTAATGCCGGTGATGTGGAGGATGTCGGACACACAGACTTGAAAGAGAAGGGAAGAATAGCCAGGATCACGTTCAGACAGGACTCGGACAAGCTGAGTAGAGCAGTGGACGAGCTACAGCTGGGTGAGATAGACGTTTTGTATGACGGTGTGTTGGACCTGGCGGCAACACCTGTGTTACGAGACACGATCAACGTCCCTGTAGCAGGAGAAAAGAGTGTTGCAGGGCCTCTTGACGTGACAGCGCTAGTGATACATGATACACATACAGTTGTAACCACAGATGATATCAACATGAGTGTGAAGTCTTTCTATACCAGAGATAATCAGTCACGCCATAGCAAGCTCAGCCTAAATAGCTACCCGTGGGGTCTGACAAAGTTACAACACAATCAAGTGGCTGTCATTGTAATGAATAAAACAATCATAACGGTTGAAGTCAACCCTGACCTGGTGCTGCTGTCAACCATCACAACAAACAAACACTACTATGGTATAACATCCCTGACCCCATCAACACTTGCAGCGGGTTCCAAGTCTCCTCTCTGTGTGGATATTCTGGACATGACAGGAAACGTGCTTAGGTCAGTCAGCCCACTCTGTAGTGGAACGGAGATCCTGAAAATTCCTTGGTTTCTTTGCACCTCAAGAACAGGAAACGTTCTTGTGTCCGACTGTGATTCTAACTGTACGTGTGTCTTGTGCCTGACACCTGAAGGGGACGTTGTGTTCACCTACCCCCCGACAGGACACACAACACAGGTGCTTCCTCTGGACATCACAAGTACCAACACAGGTGACATTCTGGTTGCCCTATATACTCTCAGACTAATGTGATTCATCTGACCGAGTCAGGCCAGTTTGTTAGGATCTTACTTACAGCAAGTGACGGTGTCGATCATCCGTCCGGAGTTTGTGCAGATGGAAGTGGCCACGTGTATGTTTGTAATTACAACTCCGGTGACATAATAATATTCCAGTGAGGCGACACAGAACAGGCCATTGATTCACACTAAAACCCTATTCCACTTTTAAATGTGGTGATTAACAAACTGCAAAGTTTGACTGGTGCACAAGGATACAAGGCGATATTAACTGTCGCTATCATAAAAGACTGGTACATTTAACAGACCCGTCGCCTACTTGAGGAAATATGGTACACCTTCTCGTTATGTACTCTGCGTCACTAAATCACAATTTAAACAGTTTCATGGATAACAAATTCTTTATTGTCTGTGGTGGTCCAGAAGTGGCGACAGTAACATAAACCATGTAGTTCACTGTGACAGAATAACATCTCATCGGCACATCGGGAATCCTATCTGGCTTGCCGTGATACTGATTATAGATTTGTCAAAACGATACCATGTAACCAGCACGTCGTCATGGTAACTATAGTACCCACTCTCAACTGTATCTTACTAGAAATATTGCAATACAAGCACAAGGCTGTTTAACAATGTCTACAAACACTGCCACACTGATACCGGTTATAGATTTGTCAAAACGATACCATGTAACCAGCACGTCGTCATGGTAACCACCCTCAACTAAATCTTACTAGAAACATTGTAATACAAGCACAACGCAAGTGGATTAGCACTAGATTGTATTATATTAGTTAAGACGTACAGAGTTAGTTAAGACGTACAGACATACGTCCCTTTATCCATCTGCTTATAGAGTTACGTCCCTTGTTCACTGTTGCTCGAGTGACCGCCTCTCTCTCGAGCGGCGTGCGTTTTGTACGGTCGTGAATAAAGTCGTTTGAGAAGACATTCGGTGTTCTGTGGGTGTGAGAAGTACAATACACAAAAGGTGACTTTTCTACCTTAGTGGCGCAAGGCTGTTTAACAATGACTACAAACACTGCCACAAGTAACATACTAGAACGAGTGCGGACCTTCACTATTTGTTTAATAATATGTGCATTGTTTTATAAAATCTCAGGGTCAGAATATTCTCTATGTCTCTGCGTACCAGAGTTACAGAATGTGAACAAAACAACAACAAAACATAGAATGTAAGCATGTTTTAAAATATTTTCCCCACCTTTGCAGGTCACATGCATCTAAGTCTTATTGCAATCAAACGTACATATGGCTCTAAATCTTATCATAATTTTGAGGGGCGGTGGGATAGCCTCGTGGTTAAAAGGTTCGCTCGTCACGCCCGATCGATGGTCATGCTGTTGATCACAGGATTGTCTGATCCAGACTCAATTATATACAGACGCCTCCATAAATCTGGAATATTGCTGAGTGCGGTGTAAAACTAAACTCACTCACATGGGGAATGAAGGGTACACCAGTTTATATACAAGATAAGATAAAGAGATAACAATAACAAGGGTGGAAAAACAAAGCATCAAAGAAAGTTACATGATGAGCTACAATAGCATGATGATGAGCTAAGATAACATAAATGAGATGAGTGGGATTACCATGACAATTAGTGACTGTAAGTTAATTAGGCAGAAGCCAAGGTGGTGGGGGATTAATTAGTGGGAAGCCAGTGGTTAGGAATGTCAGTTAGGCAGGTGATGAGAAGCCAGGGTGGGTTGAGTGGATAATTATTTGTGGATTAGGTGGTTGTAAGCTGATGGGATGTAATTGCCCTGATCCCTGTTAATAGAGGGGTTAAAACGGCGTATTTGTAATGCCTCGGCCAGTTTACGCTGAGTGTAATCATGTTTGTTGTTTGTAAGTGTTTTGACACTGTCCCAGTTGATGTTGTGTTGAGGAAATTTGGTGATGTGTTCCGTAATGGCTGATTTGGTGTCTGCATTGTTTGTGGGTGTCTCTTCTTTGATGCGTATGTTGAGTGGTCTGGATGTTTCACCAATGTAGTTGCTGCCACAGTCGCAGCTGATGTTGTAGACCACACATTTAGGCTGTTGTTGTTTTGTAGTGTGTTTCCTACCGTTTGCCTTAATGATAGTTTTGAGAGGTGTGGCCGTGGAAAAGTAAGTGTCTATGCCTGCCTGCTGTTTAAGTAAGCGACTGATGTGATGTGAAGTTTTGCCGATGTAGGGTAGTGAGATGCGAATGGGAGCGGAGTCGGGCTTGCTAGTGGTGGGTTTAGGTGCTGGGTTGAGGGTGGAGTTGATGACACGGTCAACAGGTTTAGTGGGGTAGTTGTTAAGTTGGGTGAAGACATGCCGGAGGTGTTTAAGTTCAGGTGACAGAGGATAGGTTGAGTGCTCGGCGGGCGAGAGTGGAGATAATGCCGGTTTAGTTCCGAGAGTGTGGTTAGAGTCAAAGTGGATGTACTGGTCAGTGTGCGTGGGTTTGCGGTAGACAGGTTTGGAAAGTGTTGTCAGTGGTACGAGTGACTAGGACATCGAGGAACTAGTGTACCCCTTCATTCCCTCATATCCTTGAAAACGGTATAAGAATCTATACCGAAACGTCGCCAATGTCAAAATAAAGAAGTTGATCATCCACAAAGTCCTGTCATCCCTATACCACCAACTTCTAGAATGTCACTCAAACAAATACAAAATCAATGACAACCCACCCCCACCTATAGTTTTTAAGCATAATTTTGAAATATATTTATGTATAAATTGAGGACCCCCTCTACCTCCCCAGAACAAAATGAGTGAGACACCCCACCCACCCTAAAATCACCATCACTCCATACCCCAGCCAGAAACCGTCAAACCATCCCCGCCCCCTTCCCTCCGCTGTCAGCCGACCGGCCCCCACAACCCCACCTCACCCATTCCTGCCTATGATAACCGACGGTGATATAATCCAACTGATCAAAAACATTATATCACACGCCCATGCGTGTTCATAAAATGCAATTACAAAGTATAAATACCGATGACATAGCGATTCAGTAGGAACACTATCAAATCGATAACTCTACCGCTGTGGTTAATCAGGAAAACTGAGCAGAAGGACCGACATCTTCCCATAAACACACCGCGCAATCTCACCGTCCACCCCATTCGTAACTACTCGTCCCTTTCCGTAACCTGAACGGAAAGGGACGAGTAGTTACGAATGCGTCCACCCGTGTCGTCATGCGTCACAGTTCCGACGAACCAGTGAAGAGTATGCAGCTGACGTAGCGAGGCTAAAAATAACCGGCCCGGTACACTGTTTACATCACGCAGTGAGAACGGGTCTGGATTCAAAATGGCGGCGTCCTACATGCTGATATGTCTCGCAGCTCTCTACTCGTGTGTTTCTAGAGGGACAGCGACCATGACATGTAAGTGTATATTAACGAACCATCGAAACCTGGTTTTAATGCTCAGAGATGTTTTTTTATGAATGAACGTGTTAAGATTTAGCCCAGGTAAGTCGGTGTCATTGTTGACATAAGCAAAGGTGTATGATCACCTTAGTCATCGGCACGAGATGACAGGTATTTTTCATTGTGAATGTGATTTTGACCAGGACGATATACCACTGTGCATATACGTACACATAAACCCGCTTCACAGTCATCGAATAAGAGAGAAAGAAAGTCGTGAAACGTTTGGGGATGACTAAAATGACAAATGAACAATATCAGTGATATATCGTATACCTTCGTTCAAAATCAATAAACTGCATATATCTTCATAATGAATGGGAGACAGGTAGTATTGCATACTGCATTGTTGTGTCTATATGACAGGAACTGCAGTTGTAATGGAACAGCAGGGGTAAATGATCCCAACAAATTTAATGGACTGTTACTAAGATTTGTAGATCGCTACATTAAGGAAACGTGGAATAAGGTGTATTTAGGTTTGCCTGTTGTTTTACGCCACAGTCAGCAATAGTCCAGCTATATAGCGGGGGTCTGTAAATAATCGAGTCTGGACCCGACAATCCAGTGATCAACAAACAGCATGAGCATCTCTCCATGCAACTGGGATACGATGCCATTATGAGCCAAGTCAGAGAGTCTGACCACCCGATCCCCTTAGTCACATGGGTTGCTGAAAATAGTTCTAACCCGGATCTTCATTGGTGTGGAATAAGGAAATGACCAACTGAGTTTTTGTTCCTGGTTTGTAATGAAGATAAACCGGCTCTCCATTACTCAAATATATTGTTTTGGTAGTTAAATGTTTCTTATTTTTGTAAATACTCAGAGTATCGTTTATAAGAAAACCTTTTCGGAAATAATCAAATTTCAGATGTATAAAGTTTTTTTTAGAGTATGGTACAATTTATGATTATATCTGTAATTATATAATGGCTCAATGACTCAAATGTATAAAAATGTTTTATATATTTGCAAATACTTACTTAGAGTATCGCTTATATCAAAACTCTTTCTGAAATAATTAAATCTGGCATGTATAAGGTATGGTACAATACAACCGTTTTACTATGAATATAATTATAATGATGGTACAATTTTGATGAAAAGGTTAATTTTCCGACCTATCTATTTTTTGTGTTTCGGTCCTGATTTGCCGGCCTCTGAGAAATAACTATCTACTACTGAATATAACCATCTGAATATACCTCAGTACAAATGGAGCGACATAACAAATTTCTTATAACTGAAAAACGGGTATTCAACGCGTTTTTCAGTTGAGGGAAATTTTGGGTTTTTGGTATGAATTACCTATGCGATATTCAAAAAGTGAAGTGACTGTGGTTTGTGCTTCGTTCTTTTCTATGCCCCCCAAAAAGAGAAATAGAAGAATACGGACAATTGTGAATATCACATATGACAATTGTCACAAAGGTGACTCGAGTTCATGCATCGTTATTAAATGCATAATTTATTTGAAAAATAAAATCTATGTTTCATTGAAATTAAAACTGAAAACTGTTAGTCTATCTCGTTAGTCACTGCGTCACTCAAAAACACTTTTTCAGGTCATCAATAAATAAGTAAATAAATAATAAATAAATAAATACGCTGTTAGATAATACAACCCAAACATCTTTTCAGTCTACAACAAAAGCCTAAATCTAAGCACACATTTTGAATTTTTATTCACAAATTTTAAATCAACATTTCTTATTATCATTTCGTATATTTGTTAATTCTGTCGATATTTCTCGTTAAAGTCGCTTCGATTATTTTCTCGTTATTTCAAGTTAAAAAGGGTCGATTTGTCCAGTGAAATAGACCATTTTCTCTCCAAAGTTCCTTCCGGATCATAGTAAAATTAGGGGGCCGAACTATGTCCGGGTTTAAAACATGCTATTGCCCTATACCTGTCTGCTTTATGCAGTACTGTAGTGTAATGTTAATATCAAGTTCTTCCACGTTGTAAGCTTCATTCGATCACGTCATTAATCGACCGTGGTTAATCTAGTGGATAAAGCGTTTGCTCGTCACACCAAAGACCCGGGTTCGATTCCCTACATGGTATCATTGTGAATCCCATTACTGGTGTTCCCCGCTGAAATATTTATAAGTGGATGAATGCATTCATCTCAGTCCTTTCACTAGCTCACTGAAAATAGACACGGGTCAATGAATGCCACACCGTAAAGCTTCCCTGACTTAACTCATGACGGAAGAAATGGCCTATTGACGTACGCTAGCCATGCCTCGGGTTAACCTAGTGGTTAAAGCATTTGCTCGCCACGCCGACGACCCGGGGTCAATACACCCATGGGTACAATGCGTGAAGCTCAATACTGGTGTCCCCCGCCGTGATATTGATGGAATATTACTAAAAGCTGCGTGAAACAATATTCACTCACTCACTCCGGTGGGGATACAACATACACAAAATAAAAAAAAAATTATGAAACATGAAATAAATTTATTATGAAACATCGGAATACAAAAATTGGGTCAGGCGGTAGATGGGAAACAGGAAAAATATGGACAGCCTCATCAATACATGTACACACCACAATAATCCTCATGTACCGTTATCACACAAGTTCTAGACGCCAGTTGACCCAGCAGTGTTTGTCACCCAAAGCCCGCGAGCATGATCGGATATTTACATGACCTACACTTGCCGTCACCAATCTCTGTTGTAAATCTAAGATTCAATTTCGACGGGTATATTACCAAACATCCTTTGATATATGTTTATAGTTCACTCGTTTGACCTTATACACGGGATGATATCCATGAATATGTTCTTGGTTTGTCAGAAACAGGCACGTATTTCACTGGGTTTGTCAGAAACATGCTCATATTTCACTGGGTTTGTCAGAAACAGGCGCGTATTTCACTGGGTTTGTCAGAAACAGGCGTGTATTTGACTTGGTTTGTCAGAAACACGCACGTATTTCATACCGATATCACCTGTTTTTTTTACAGTATTTCAGATCCTTCGTGGCGTGTCAGATTGCTGTATTGCTAGTGTCAGGCTTTTTTGTGTTGGGTGAAACTCTCGGCATGGATATTTATCTGACAATCCTGGAAGCAATCGGGACGAACCAGGGTCCCGATCCACAAAGCGTTCGTAACGTTACGACATGTCGTAACTTCGTACCATATCATTGACTTACGAATGGCGCAATGCTACGAACGTTTTGTGGATAGCATCAGAGGATTCGTACCCACGGATTCGAACCCAGTATGTTTCTGGCGTGCCAAAGCGATGCAGCTCTGCACAGTGAATTGTTCGCCTTACTGACTGACTGACTGAGTTTGGTTTTACGCCGCTTTTAGCAATATTCCAGCAACATCACGGCGGGGGACACCAGAAATGGGCTTCACACATTGTGCCCATGTGGGGATTCGAACCCGGGTCTTCGGCGTGACGAGCCAACGCTTTAACCATTAGGCTACCCCACCGCCCCTTGTTCGCCTTAGCCTCAGACATGATTGTACGCTGGCTGGCACACTTCACTACATTTGGAGTAGTTAATGCAGATGGCCACTTCTGGGCTCATTTTAATAAGGGGCGGCTGGGTAGACCCGGGTTCGATTCCCACGTGGGTACAATGTGTGAAGCCCATTTCTGGTGTCCCCCCGCCGTGATTTTGCTGGAATATTGCTAAAAGCGGCGTAAAACTAAACTCACTCACTCATTTTAATAATACTATAATACTTTTTTTTTCGTTTACGCCGCTCTCGGCAATATTCCTGCCACTTGAAAGTAATCGAAACTGGACCAAACAGTCACCTGTTTGACATCGTGAGCATCGATCTGCGCCATTTGGATACGATGACATGTTTCAATCAAGTCATCTTGTCTGACAACCCGATCCCGTTAGTCGCCTCTTACAACATGCATAGGTTGCGGAAAACCAATTTTAACACGTATGATTGTGTGTGCGTGTGTTTAACTCAGCACTCGTCGCCCTAATGTGATAGTAGAATTAAGATAACCTATTCTAGTCCCAATCCACAAAGCGTTCGTAACGTAGCAACCAGGCGTAACTCTATAGTTTAGAATAGGCTTACGAATGTCGTAGCGTTACTAACGGGACCCTGATTTTGAATTTTTAGGTTGTTCATCGTTCATTAATGACAAAACCACTGGTAAATTGTACCACCTAATCATAAGTATTGCCCTGTTTGGTATTCCCTTATTTGTCAGCCGCTGGGTGTAGCTGATTAATTTTCTCAGCCCCATTATCTCAATCATACATGTGTACGAATCCGTCTAATCCTTATCTAAACTGACTTCTATGTGTTAGCATCGGAAACAAAATTCAATTATCTTATCCGCTGTAATTACTTAAAAGCCACATCAACTCACATGATCAACACTGGCTATCGGTAAACATGCTTCTGTACATCGCTGTAATTCTGCCTGATCTTGGGCCAGTTGAGTTGTAAATAGCGTTTCGTGTATCGGGCGTGTCACCTTAAAGGAAATCACTGTCCGTTCTAATTGGGTCAGGTCGGTAAGTCCGACCATTGGATGGGTGGAAAAACAAACTGATCGGTTTGCAGGGGTATGTCGTTAACGTCGACTGGTTCAAGACAATAGGCAGTCAACGGTACGGTTACTGCTAAAATGTTCACCTGAAAATAACTGAACAAGGACCACGCTGTAAAATGACATTATTATTTGTGCATTCATTTAGACAGTAATTTCTATTATCTACATGATAAATAATGAATATACATATGCTCACTGTATATAATAAACAAAGAATCCCATTTACCAATGCTTTAAAACAGTACCTCAACAATGCCAACACTTTTGATCTCAAGCACATTCTGACAAATCCCAAATTAATTAAACCACTCAGTAAATATCTCATTCATACAAAATTATACCAAACAATATAGCAACAAAAACATTAATACCACTTTTTACCATTTTAAAAATGGTTATAAATAGGTATGTATGTTCTTTTCATTTTTCAATTTTTAACCTTTTACATGTTTATCATTATTTACATAATAAAGATGTTTTTAAACATGGGTTGGTTAAAGAAAATACAATAACAATAACAATAACCACTTACTACACTACATCTATATATGCATATACTAAATTCCAAATCTCTGTTACTCTTTACTTATTTCATATTCTTTACCTTTTTAATTCGGCCTCCCGTTCAAATTTCCCTTAACACTCAGATTTTGTTTGTTTATTTTATGTTCTTTTTTGGGTAGTACACAACCACTCTTTTCAAAATTTCTATTTTTTGTTCCCCTTCATTTCTTAATAAGTGTACTACCCTGTCGCCGAAATACCTTAGTTGTGCGTGCGACGTTAAATAAAGCAAATAACAACAGCCCACTGTCGAGACTGTTGATCTGCAGTCTTTCTGGATGGGATGCATCTCCACGAGATCCTTTCTCCCATTTCCCCCCTGTTCACAATGTACATATAACATTTACATATATGTATCTTACACCACGAGAAGTAGGCAGAAACTTGTAGTCTAACTGTACATTTGCCATAACTAAAGTTGTAGAAATGGTGATGAAAACTGTCATTTCCAACATTCTTATAGCAAGCAAGTTTATGTAAGAAATTGAATAACTCACTACTAATGAACTGAGTGAATGAATGTTCATATTATTAATCAAAGTCATTGAGTTCACTTTTTGAGTTTAGTTTTACGCCGCACTCAGCAATATTCCAGCTATATGGCGGCGGTCTGTAAATAATCGAGTCTGGACCAGGCAATCTAGTGATCAACAGCATGAGCATCGATCTGCGCTATTGGGACATGTGTAAAGTACATGTGCGGGACTTGGATATATTCTTGAGCATACTGAGTTTCTGACTGAGTATGGTTTTGCGCCGCTGTTAGCAACATTCCAGCAATATTACGACGGGGGACACAAGGAATGGGCTTCACACATTGTACCCATGTGGTCCCAGCTGAGGTGGGACGGAAGGTTAGCCTTGTGGTTAAAGCGTTCGCTCGTCACGCCGAAGGTCCAGGTGTAATTCCCGACGTGGCTACTATGTAGAAAGTACCATTTCAGGTGTCCCGCGCGATAATTATACAATGTTGTTAAACGCTTCTTAGAAACATACTTAGTCACTCACTCACTAACGGACGGTCATGTCACACCGTTTGTCATTCGGTTGATCATCTGTCCATACATTTTCTTTTCGGTTGATCACTAGATTGTCTGGTCCAGACGCGGTTACTTTACAGACCACCGCCATATAGCTGGTACCTTGCTGAGTGCGGATTTAAACAAGAAACGAATACACAATTTAAGAAATAACCCTTTTCGCCACATCCCTTGAAACGCCGCCATAGCATCGTCTTTACCTTAAATCGTCCTTTGATCGTCGGTCCATATCTTTGTTTCGCCATATCCCTTGAAACACCGACACAGAAAGGTCTTTACCTTAAATGCTGTAGTGATATCTTCATGTATTTAACACAGACACTATGGACAGTTACTGTGGTAATACCGTGGACATGGACGACTCAAACTTGGATTCAATGAAGCTGCGCCTGACCTACTCCAGCAAGTACAGAAGCAACATGGACTGTAAAATGCGTATCAAGACCAGATCTGGCCAACGCTTGTCGTTCAAGTTCCTCGATATGGATATTGCTAAGATTTTCACTTGTGATGACTACTTGGAGATACGCGATGGATCGTCTTCCTCTTCATCAGGTTAGTGCCTTGCAAATAGTATAGTTCTTTGAAGGGCAAACATGAGTCAAAAAACGTGATGATATCAAATAAATGGATTCACGACGTCTGGGGGTCATTACTTCTCCAGGTTAATGGTAGATATGGACAGTATATGTCCATATCCAGTCTGTATCATAAATTTATTCAATGTCAGTCAGGTGAGCAACAGTAAATCATACGTTCTGTGAAGGGCATTAAGAAGTGCAAAGCGTTAGTCAAAGGGTTTTTGGATATCAACTGAATCTTTTAGACAGAACGTTTGGGAGTCAATTCTGTACTTCTTCAGTGAGTGCCTTGCAAATAGTAACGTTCTTTGAAGAAGCGAAAAACATGAGTCAAATGATTTTTGGATATCAACTAAATTTATTATTCACGACGTCTGGGGAAAATTTATTTTCTTCTCCAGGTTAATGGTAGATATGGACAGTATATGTCCGTATCCAGTCTGTATCATAAATGTATTCAATGTAGTCAGGTGAGCAACAGTAAATCATAAGATCTGTGACGGCATTAACAAGTGACAAACGTTAGTCAAAGGGTTTTTGGATATCAACTAAATGTATTAGACACGACGTTTGGGAGTCAATTATTTACTTCTCCAGGTTAATGGTAGATATGGACAGTATATGTCCGTATCCAGTCTGTATCATTAATTTATTCAATGTCAGTCAGGTGAGCAAAATTAAATCATAAGTTCTGTGACGGGCATTAAGAAGTGAAAAACGTTAGTCAAAGGGTTCTTGGATATCAACTAAATGTATTAGACACGACGTTTGGGAGTCAATTCTATACTTCTTCTTCGGTGTGTGCTTTGCAAACTGTCAATCTTTGAAGGGCACTAAAAGAGTGAAAAACATGGGTCAAGGGGATTTTGGATATCAACTAAATATATTAGACACGACGTTTGGGAGTCAGTTCGTTTCGTTTCGTGAGTGAGTTTAGGTTTACGTCGCACTCAGCAATATTCCAGCTATATGGCGGCGGCCTGTAAATAATCGAGTCTGGACCAGACAAGCCAGTGATCAACAGCATGAGCATCGATCTGCGCAATTGGGAACCGATGACATGTGTCAACCAAGTCAGCGAGCCTGACCACCCGATCCCGTTAGTCTCCTCTTACGACAAGCATAGTCGCCTTTTGTAGCAAGCGTGGGTTGATGAACACCTTTTCTACCCCGGATCTTCACGGGCCAATTCGTTTCGTCTTCACGTGAATGACATATACTGGATATGGGCTGGATATGATATTTTTATCGTTTGAGGGACGAATGAGATAGAAATTACTTTCTCCTAGCGTAGAAATACATCAAAGGGGTGTAGTTCAGTTGTAGGTGGCGCCTAATGAGAGTATATAAGGCGTATGATATTTGAATTGTCATTCTCGCTTGTTGTGCACCAAGTATACATTGCGTCATGGATACTTCTGAATCTGGCAATCCCATTAACGACAAACTCGACGCCATTTTAAATAGTATGGACTCTTCTCAGGTGGATTTGGAACGCAAGATCCAATCTAGAATAGAGGCTAGTCTCGAGGGTGTGAGAGAAGAGTTTGCGAAAACCACAAACGAAATTCAGAAATTGAAGGCCGATTAAGACTTTACATGGTCTAGAGAAGGTAATAGAATCCAGTACAATTTTAACACAGAGACACTTGAGGCCTTTCGTCAGATTGAATTTGGTCTAGAGTATGAGAGGTTAGACTACATTAAAGAAGCTGTGCAGAGTGAGGTATCCAGGATAGAGAATCGTAATAAGTTGATACGAATAGCTGATTCTTCCGAAGCTGGTTGGGAGACGGTACGTCGCTACGTGTCACGTGATTTGGCTGAGAACTCTGATGATGACAGGCGTATTACGCGAGCAGAGAACAAGGCTATCAAGAAATCTGCCAAGAATCTGCGATCTTCACGTGGACACCCGACCTGCATCCAGTACCCAGTCTGTGCAGACGCGGTGGTGCACAGCATAAGCATCCAATGTGTGTTATGTTATTTGTTGTATTGTGTTGGAGGGGCTAGGCGAAATGTCCATATCCTGTATATCTGTGTATCATAAATTCCTTCACCGCTGTGTAAATATATGTTGCGTGCTTCCGTTTTCCTCATCATCAAACGAATATGATCGAGAAAATCATGTGACGTTCAGGTCCTTGAGTTGCTATTTTAGGAGATATTCGCCTATTGTGTTTACGCCTGAGAATTTTACAATCTGCGGCACAAAACCCCAAACCAAACCAATATCTATGCTGTTTCAGGAGATTTGGTACATCTACGACAAGAGAAACGTTTTTCTTTTCAGTCTTGGGTTACCGAATGTGTGGGGAGACCATACCATCTAGCCTATCAACAAGCGGGAGAAACGCTTTTCTGAGGTTTAAAAGCAACTCCTACAAGGAGGATGACGGCTTCACCATCCTTGTGACCAGCTTCAACACGGGTGAGCAAAGACACAGGTGTCATTTTATGCTGGCAAAATGATTTAGTTGTTTGTCTGTTTTATTATTTTTTAGTATAATCTCTTTTTATAGCGCCGAGTTCCAGCTCGGCTGCTCACAGGCGCTTTGTTTTTCCCTCGATCGTAGGATGTCAATCTCAGCGGCACAACGTATTATCAATCTCAACTCCTTGGGGGGTATACAACTCTTTCAGCCACTAGGCGCACCGAGTTAATGTGGGTTAGCCATTCACTGCTGGGTGGCCAGGGACACATAGTATACTTTGTCCAAGTTTACTGCACGTTGCTGTACCCGCAATTGAGCGTTTGCACGTATTCTTGTGGCCACCATCTGGTGCACAGGGTTGTATACTGTACACTAGGGGTTGTGAAAGAACACTGGAAGAATATTGACACAAAGTTGACTCCAAGGTTTTTACACCCGGTCACAGGTGGTTTGTTGTTTAGCTATGTGACGAGAATTCGGCCTGTAAATAATTGTCTCAGGACGAGAAATGAGATCGGTTCGGGTCGCTGACGTGGTTGAGTCATTCATCGTGTCCCAGCTGCGTTGATCGTCTTAATACTTTTGATCATTGGATCGTCTGGTCCAGATTGGAGTATTTACAGACCGCCACCTGATAGCTGGACTATTGCTGAGAGCGGCGTTCAGCAACAAATCAACCAACCAACACATGAATAACTTGTTGAAGTGGGAAAATAATCCTATAATCATGTAATTAATCATCCTCGATAATCTCCAGGGTATACGTTGCGATAACTCTCCACTATACCCTGGATGCATCCACGGCTTGGGGCGATGATTTTATTACCTCCCTTGGCTGGCTTTTTATCCAGGTGCCTACGCTTGGAAGTTGAGCGTACCAATCACTACTCACTTTCGCGTCTTAAATTATCTAACCGTTTAAACTTGGCAACACAATTGATGCAGAGGTACTCTGAAAGAAGTAGAAGGAGTTCTTTCATATATTCTTTTTAAAGTTTCAGATCTGTGAATTTGTCTGTATTATTTCCCCAAAAATCTGAGTGGCACTGCGAACAAACCTTTGCGACTGCGACCGCAATCTTTGTTGACACTGGCAAGCTCGGTTGTAACGGCGGCTTAGCTGATTGGCTACTGTGAGAATGCGGAGCCAGCCAAGGGAGGTAATAAAATCATCGCCCCAAGCCGTGGATGCATCCAGGGTATAGTGGAGAGTGATCGTAACGTATACCCTGGAGATTATTGAGGATGGTAATCGATGCGAAATGTAACATAGGAATACAAATGACAGACAACATGTTTTTATCCATACCTGGTTAAAAAACATATAGTTGTCATCAGAATATAACCACAGATCACACGCGAGGTGTGAGAACAACTATACCACTCAGCGACCACTAGTGTGTTAGAGAGGAAATCATTTATGCGCTTTATTAAAAATGAAATATAACTGGAGGAATCGATAAATGTAATAACAAAATTGATTTTCGTTTATTAGTTCAGACATCGGTGAATTCAGCACAATGACAAGTTATATATTTAATGGGACATATATGGCATTGATTTGGAGGTCTGGTTTATCATGCGTGAAGAAATACTTGCTACAGTGTCAAATCAAAAAAGCAGAATAATTGGCTCTAAGTTTATTGGATATTTGTTTATATAAATTGATATCTATTTTGAAAAGATTCAGAATCTCTAAATTATGTATTTCAGAAACTGCAAACACAAAAGTCATGTATTTATTCTTAAAGTTTATATTTAGCTATCAGCAAACTATCATGGGTTTGAATTTCAGGTTCCTGAGATTTTTCCTGACTTGTGGGGTGTCATGATTATTTCGGGTTTTCCTCCCACATAAAACAGGCAGTGAAATATTGTGCGTTTGTTAAAGATACGAAGTGTAACAGCGACGAATTTTCCTGCGACAACGGCCGGTGCATTGACCAAAGTCTGTACTGTGACTCATATGACAACTGCGGCGACGACAGCGACGACTGCTACATGGATACAAATTGGTGGGTCTGGATGGTCATCGGCATCGTTGTCTTCATCATATTCTGTGCTATCGTTATTACCGTCATCTGTTGTTGCTGCTGCAAGAGGGCATCTCGTGGAACAGTACTTAAGGTAAGCTGGCAGAATCAAATCTCCATCCCATTGGTCATAGCGGTTGAGACCCGTGAAGATCCGGGTTAAAATTGGTCTTCAGTAACCCATGCTTGTAAGAGGCGATTAACGGGATCGGGTGGTCAGGCTCGCTGATTTGGTTGATACATGCCATCGTATTCCAGTTGCGTAGATCGATGCTCATGCTGTTGATCACTGGCTTGTGTGGTCTAGACTCGATTATTTACAGACCGCCGCCATTTAGCTGGGATATCGCTGAGTGCGGCGTAAAACTAAGCTCACTCACTCACTTATTCAATGAGTCATAGCGGTCAGAATTCTACATCTGTCGTCACCACTGGAGAAAATGACATTTCGGTTGTCCTTTAATGTCCGTTTGAGCGCGTTTGTTGTTTGACGCCGCACTCAGCAATATTCCAGCTATATGGTGTCGGTCTGTAAATAATCGAGTCTGGACCAGACAATCCAGAAATCAACATCATGAGCATCTCTCTACGCAATTTTGTCAACACATGCGTCAGCCAAGTCAGAGAATCTGGTCACGCATGGATTACTGAAGACCGTTTGTAACCCGTATCTTTTCGGATTGACCACGTAAGCAGTGTGATCCTTTCGCTCCGATGACCACAGTGATCGCTGTATCGAAACTGTGATGTCTTTCATTCCAGTGAGAGTTGGGTTAGCCTTGTGGTTAAAGCGTTCGCTAGGAACGCCGAAGACCCGGGTTCGATTCCCTACATGGGTCCTGCATGTGAAGCCAAGTTCTGGTGTCCCACGCCGCGAGATTGCTGGAATACTGCTAGAAGTGGTGTAAAACCATACTCACTCACTCACTCCACTCAAACAATGTGGCTGCTTATCAGGGTACTGAAGGAAGCATGGGATGTATGGTGGCCGCTGATGAATATGTGTTTGGATTTTCAACCAAGGGGATTCCCATTCGCTTAATTGGAAACTTGCCTCCTTTCATTTTTACAGTAACTAAATACTCACATTATTGATCACTGGTTTGAAATCCGTTTTCTACAATTACATTTAGGACTTCTTGTATAATTGGGACGGTGGCGTAGGCACGTGGTTAAAGCGCAGGCTGGTCACACCGCAGATCTAGGTTCCATTCCACATATGGGTACAATGTGTGCCGTGATGTTTGTGGAATATATCTAAATGCGATGTAAACTGTAAACAAAATACTCACTCATGAATAATGCCGCGAAACACAATGTCCTCATTGAACACAGACTGCATATTGTGGCTGTTGTACTTTCAGACTACAACAGGTGTCAACTACAACGCAGGCGCACAGACGGTCACCGCCAATCCCTGGTACGGCAACACGAACAACCAAATCATGACGCAGCCGGGCTACCTGGCACCGCCGCCAAACCAAGCGATGGCACCTCCCAGCTATACAGCGGCTTCAGGAGACCCTACCGGGTACCCACAACCTGCTGCTTACCCACAACCAACCACATACCAGCCTGTTGCCTACCCACCCCAAGCCGGCGCCGGGGATTGGCAAGCCCTTCCCCCAAATGCCCCGCCTCCGTACGCACAGAAAGGGGAAAACAGTTATTGATTGCCCTCATAGAATATGGTATGGTGTATATCAAGGTCTGTGCCTTCAATCAGCCATATTGCTCACTATGCAGATTAACCCATGGTGACATTGATCATGTTTGCTGCAGTTCCGCAGCGATAGGCAGACGTTTTGAAATCAATTTGCTCAAAAAAATGTATTTTTAAAACATATTACTGAGAGACCATTTAAAATGTCTCACGGGGAATAAACATTTGTTTATTTTCTATTTTTTTGTAAATTTTACAGTACTATTCAATAGGCAGACGTTTTGAAATGGTTTTTCTAAAAAATGTATTCTTAAGTCATATAATTGAGAGACCATTTTAAATTTCTTACGGGGAACGAGCATTGCTTTTTATTTCTACTTTTTGTAAATTTTAATAATTAATACTACACAAAGCAAAACAATACCTAAACAACACTATTCAAAACTAAACAACGCTATGATCCTTGAACTGTCACAGTCTCAGACTATGATCCTTGAACTGTCACAGTCTCAGACTATGATCCTTGAACTGTCACAGTCTCAGACTATGATCCTTGAACTGTCACAGTCTCAGACTATGATCCTTGAACTGTCACAGTCTCAGACTATGATCCTTGAACTGTCACAGTCTCAGACTATGATCCTTGAACTGTCACAGTCTCAGATTATGATCCTTGAACTGTCACAGTCTCAGATTATGATCCTTGAACTGTCACAGTCTCAGACCATGATCACTCACTGTCACAGTAGACTATGATCCTTGAACTGTCACAGTCTCAGACTATGATCCTTGAACTGTCACAGTCTCAGACTATGATCCTTGAACTGTCACAGTCTCAGACTATGATCCTTGAACTGTCACAGTCTCAGATTATGATCCTTGAACTGTCACAGTCTCAGACTATGATCCTTGAACTGTCACAGTCTCAGACTATGATCCTTGAACTGTCACAGTCTCAGATTATGATCCTTGAACTGTCACAGTCTCAGACTATGATCCTGGGACTGTCAGTCTCAGACTATGATCCTTGAACTGTCACAGTCTCTGACTATGATCCTTGAACTGTAACAGTCTCAGACTATGATCCTTGAACTGTCACAGTCTCAGACTATGATCCTTGAACTGTCACAGTCTCAGACTATGATCCTTGTACTGTCACGGTCTCAGACTATGATCTTTGGACTGTTACAATCTCCGATTATGATTCTCTGACTGTCACAGTCTCTGATTATGATCCCTGGACTCTCACTGTCACTGATTGTGATCTTTGGACTGTCACAGACTCTTTAAATGTAACATCCTCGGAATATCTGCACAGGACTATCACAGCCTCTAAGTACGATAGATGGAATGTCACTATGATCCTTCGCCTGTCACATGAATCGATTATGTACTGTCACAATCCCTTGTATGGTGGGGCTGTCAGCCTCGGAATATGGCTGTCACATGATCTCTGTATGATCCTTGGCCAGTCGCAAACGTCTTCATCACTTAGGGATGGCTTCCTTAATTAGGATGACATTTCACTGAAATTCTGTTGAAAACGGTGTCCCAACTAACTCCCCAGCTACATCCACACAGCTGTTACGACATGACGGGATCGGCTGCTGTGGTAGCATGAAGATGAATGTATATCGGATTATAAATTGACGTTTCACATAACATGTCTGGGTTGTTGTATTTCAAAACAATTTACCTCGACTGTCTTTTATGTGTTTTGTGCAGACCTTGTATTTGCTCACTAATAGGAAGCAGTTTATTTATCCAAGTGATAAATTATGTTAAAACCGGTAACTGTATTTTCAAAACCGAATCTCTACAACACGGTAATCCCGAAAAACAAAGTAATCTCTATATTGATCTGTACTCGAATATTTGGATGTTTTGGAAGTGTCAATTTGGACTATTATCGTGGTGAGAAATGTCATTTAATCAGAATCATAGTATGTTGTATATGGTATCGCGTACTTGTAATATGTGATTATATTTTGCAGTGATATGACATTGTATAAACAGATTGGTGGGATGATTTATATTTACCACATATGATTATTGTATACAACGCTGGTCGTTTGATGAAGATATGTTTGTCTTTCTTTATATTCTTTTACTGTTTTCACTGTTACCACATATACTATGAAGAGTAATAAAATCATTTGTTTCAATGACAAAAGTTTCATGTTTTAGGTGTTCACATTACCGAACCATACTTGAGGAACTCATGTTAAAACCTATGTTCTGACAATTAAATCCTATGGAACATTGTATATAGCTGCAGATGTTTTCAAGTGATTTTTCTCCTTGACTTTATTTTAAATATAACAACAGAACATGCTGCATATTTTCATACTTATGCATTTATGACTACAATTGCTGCTGAATGAGGGGCAGTGTTGTAGCCTAGTGGGTAAAGCGTTGGCTCCTCACGCCGAAGACCCGGTTTAGATTCCCATGTGGGCAAAATATGTGAAGCCCATTTCTGGTGTTCCCCGCCGTGATATTGCTGGAATATTGCTAAAAGCAGCGTAAAACCAGTCACTCACTCATGGCTGAATGATGTATGTGTGGTTTTGGCAATTATTAACATTTTGAAGCATTGTTTTAAATGTTTAAGGGTCACGTAAGCCAACAAAACAAAGACGTTACATATACCGAACACAATTATTTGGGATGATAAATATTCAAGTGGGGCTCACTCAACATTATTACAAATAAACAAGAAAATTACAGATTTAATTCAGGTGTAAATTGTCCAAAATTACAAGTGAACAAATAAATAATCAGAAGGTTTTATCAAATCAGGCATACTCAGTAGATCATTGATATACTGAGAGAAACAAATAAGGGAACGCCACTTCATGGCAGTGTTCCTTTATTTGTTTCTCATATTTTCTCCCACAGCGCTATTCCAAACTGGTGTTGAAAACTGGAAAATATTATAGGAACACTTGAATTTTCCCGTGTTCCTTCATTTGTTTCTCTCAGTATATGTTCTGCTGACTGAGGTCAACTGTTGCAGACAAGGGCAGACCAGGCAACATTTTTACATCTTTAAATGCCGCCTCCTCATTACCATAACAGCTTTTCCACACGTTCCACAAATTTAGAGGGTTTTTCCTAGAACTGAACACGACAACTAACAACATAGCTGGAATAATAATGGATACTGTGGAAAATAGATAATACCAGTCAAACACAATTGCAGACAAAATACAAATACGGACAATATCCCTTTCTCCCCTTGGACATAACTAAACTAATGGGCAAAAGAAACGATACCAAGTCGAAGTCACTGATATTACAAAACGACAAACCACCATTGCGAAAAGGAAGTGAATTTTAATAACAGGTACATGTTGCCCATACACCTGTCATTAAAATACACTTTCCTTTTTCAAAATGGTGGTTTGCCGTTTTGTAATATCAGTGACTTCGACTTGATATCGTTTCTTTTGCCCATTTGTCTACTACAAACAAGATGAAGAAAGTTACGAGTTACACTGACACCAGACAAAGTACTGACTTGAATGCAACATCCTGCACTTGTTCCTAATGATATATGGTTCAATAAGTATTTATCTCACAAGCGGTTATCTTCCTTACACCGTTGGAACCCGTGGAATAAACTATTTTGGGTCTTCCTTTCATTATTGTGACAACGAATGTAGCAAATTTAATAAAATTCAGAGTCGGCAAAAATATAAACTGCACTGCTAGCATCGTATTTGTGATGTTTTAAACACGTACCAAAACTGAATTGTTCTAGACAGTAATGACAGTAATTCAAATGCAATACTTTCAGATATACAATCACCGATAACTCCTTTGTGCTGATAGAATGGCCACAAATAGTTCACAGCTGCAAAGCTGCAGTCGATAAAACTCTCACAAGAAGGAATCAAGGAATTCGACCATGCAGCTTTGGTCTTGTGTAATATTTCTGTGGGGATATCGGTAATTGTATATAAAGTATTGCATTTGAAATCTTGTCCACAACTGTCTGTGGCATTTCAGCTTTGGTACATGTATTGTACGCATTACAATTATGTTTATTGTTCAGCTGAATATTCTACTGAGCTTATTCCGAGGGATTCGAAAGGTGTAAGGTCTAAATGATGGGAGGTAAATAAATTATGCACCATATATAAGTGTAACTAGCGACCGGAATATCTGCAATCGAGAGGAGTATTTTGTTTTCTTTGAAAGGGGTCTGTGTTAATAAAACATACAGGATAACTTTATTCATTTAATTTGAGTCTTATTGCACACTGCATACAAATAGTGTGACTGATGTATCGCCTGTCAACAGAATAAAACATTAGGTTTGTAACAGCTGGAGTGTAACTCTGCAGGGGATCGAAATTGTTTATTTATTGGAATTGTTTCATAATGTGGATGTCATCAAAGGCTGCTTTATTGTCAGAGACGATCTGGATCTGTCCGCGTTCTCGGATGTCAGTATTGGGTCCTTGTTTGCAGTTCTGGGAGTAATGTATGAATGTGCTCATTATACACTTGGCTTGTTTGTATACATTCTGTCAAACTAGTCATTTGGGGAAACATGGCCATTGGTATGTCCTTAACGTCCATCCATTACCACTGTCAGGAACCTGATCGTATGTAAGCCTTTCAACATGCTACAGTTACTTTTCAGATAATAGTCTTCGTGATATAAAATTCCAAGGAGCAACCTTTACTGACAACAAACAACAGTTTCAACTTTGATATCAATTATTCATGTATTTTCAAACTGACGGTAATAGAAGAACATATTGATTGGGAAACCATACACAAAAGGTAGAATGTTCTACTACAGCAAACAAGCGCTCATAGGAACTAATTGTTTCGGTTGCAGGCCTTTGAAGCTCAAAGATATTGTCCAAATAACATTAATTAATCATTTTACAGCAAAAAGTTTTGCTACACTCAGCAATATTTCAGCTGTATGACGTTGGACTGTAAGGCTTCGGGTTCTGGCGAGACAACTGTGGCAGTAATTGACATCATGGATGAGCAATGGATCTACACAATGTAGATATACTATTCACACTTTGCTAAGGATCAAATCATGGATTCAACCGAAAACTATGATGTGGGGTCAAATTTGGTTTAAATATCTAAGCTTATTGTCAGCATGGATCCAAGGTTTCAGTATGTCATTTCATCTTGTGGATCCCATACCTGCTATTGATAGATGTTGTGTACTTGTAAATGACTCGTACCATGATTTGCAAAATGGTTGATTGGTGCCATGAAAACCATTTTTATGGTTACTCATGTATCAATTGCACAAGGTTAGATTAAAGTGACCGTTTGCCTAAAGAGGGGTTACCGTATTATTATTTATTCAGTTTTAAATGGATACAATTTCAAATTATAAATCTACGTTTAAGTAAAGTTGTGAAGTTTTGTGATCCTTAGCAAAGTGTGAGTAGTATATCATGACCTGCACCAACCACCTTCACCAGCCTGACCACCCGATCCAGTTCGTCACCTCTTACTACCAGCATCGGTAGGGGACGCAAAATGGCTCAGATTATGCCGATGCGACGTTAATTTTCAACTCACTCACTCACCGGTTGCTGGAATTAAATTCAGTCTGACATTGTGTCACACACATATCCCTTAATTCAAACGCTTGTTTTGATTTTTAATTTAGGTCATTTTTTTCTTTTATCTGGCTACGCTACCTTGCTAATCAGCCAATTGTTACCTTACCCTTCACTTAATGAGAGTTTAGGTTAGGTCCTGTAAACACCTCATCGTTGCTTTGTTCTAAATGTCATCTCGTTAAAAGAGCAATATTGAAATGTGTATATGAACGTGTCTTGTTTTATGGGCTGTACAAAATGTCCAACTTTTTGTAAACAGTCATGTAGTCTGATATTCTATCTGTTCGTGAACGGACGACAACGTCACAATGTTGGGTGTACTTGGTCATGCGCTTCAAGGGCAGTGGTATCGACTCCTAGGTTACACAACATCAAATGTTTTCCCATATACTTCTATAGTAACCTTATATTTTTTAAAATTATCCAGGCTATCAACAGCCATTCCATGTACACATGGATACAGTCTGGTCTTTAAACTATAATAAAACACTATTTCTGGCAAAACTGTCCGGCTCATTTTCCGAGCACCGGAAGCGGAACACGTCAACTCCACTTCCGCACCAAATGCCACCTACTGGAAAATATCTGTACACACAATAAGTATAAGTCATGGTGATAAAAATGACAGCACTAAATACTTAAAATTGTGGTCAGTTTTAATTACTGGATGGATGTGCTTTTAAAAAACATAAACATCTTACACTATGTCATCCATTCACAGCTGTCACATGTCTCTGTCTCTTCGGTACCCGCTCAGCGAGCATGGGATTCTGATTTAGTGTACTAGAACCTACCAATAACCACTTGGAGGCTCATACGCAATATACCTCGGCGAGAGAATGAATCTTTGACAAATCGTGACAGTTATACCCACAACGCAACTGTCACACTTCAGTACCTATTATAACCGTTAGGGGCGGTGGGATAGCCTAGTGGTTAAAGCGTTGGCTCGTCACGCCGAAGACCCGGGTTCGATTCCCCACATGGGCACAATGTGTTAAGCCCATTTCTGGTGTCCCCGCCGTGATATTGCTGGAATATTGCTAAAAGTGGCGTAAAACTAAACTCAGTCAGTCAGTCAGTTATAACCGTTACGTGTTCCCTATTCATTCAACATTATCGAACTATTACAAGAAACTAATACCTCCAACAGTTTTAAAAATAGGAAGCTATTTCCAAATATCGCCTGCTTTGTCCAAACCAAAGATTTAGATTTTGTAACCCAATATCTCAGAATATCAAAGAATAAACACAGACCCTCGTGGGCTTACCTATCGAACCACCAATTCTTAACTCGAAACCAAATGAATTTTGATATCCGAAGTCCTAGCAACAAATGTTGTATGACTGTTATCACTGACGGGCACTAAAGCATCCCACGATTACATTTATCAAATAGTAAATATCAGAAAGAAATACAACTCCAAACAGAACCCCAATCACAGACATTGCAATATATCCCACTCCTTGAGACGACTTCCTACCGTCCGGAAGACTTTCCTTTGTCCTTGTGTAGGATTTGAGACTCTTTATGTCCAAAATAAGTTCTTTTGTTATTTTCTTGACCATGTCTTCTTGGTCCACGCGTTGTTTGTTGATGCATCGGCAAGTACATTTTTCGTAGATTGTCCTTCCGAATTTATTCACTGGTGCGTCTGGTGTTGTTGGCGACGCCATAGTCGAGGGCAACGGTGTATCTGTACAATGAGAAACAGCTACTTTACTATGTGTATAGCGTTGGTCCTATTGATTGAACAAATGGAACAAAACCCTACCGAAGATGAAATTTTAAACAGAAGCAATGATTTACAAGACGTCTAATCAATATTTCAATTTATCTCTTTGTTAACTGAATTGGGTTGAAGGAAAACAAAAAGTCAATGTATATTCATACAAGTTTCTTAGCTTGTTGTTCTAGCAAAATTAGTCCATTAAGATGAGTTAAAGCCCTTCGAACATCGCATTTTAAGTTAATCCGCAAAAGAGATTCCCCATTGGACACATTATTTAGTCAGTCTGTAAAAAGACTCAAATATTTTGACATTTTATTAAAAGCCTAAATGAATCAAATTTTACTCATAACTTGCTTGAGAAGTGAATTTATCAGTGTGGTTTTATGCCGCGTTTTACAATCTGCCAAAAATATCACTGATGCCACCGAAATTGGATTCACCTATTTCATCCGTGTGGAAAACTAAACGATGAATAACCGCTATTACCAGCCAGAGTGAGAGAGTTCCAAATGAACTTGGGACTCACGAACAAGCATTGCAACTTTCAAGGACGCACTATAACGCGTCTGTGAGTGAGTGAGTGAGTTTACTTTTACGCCGCACTCAGCAATAGTCAAGTTATATGGCCCCGGTCAGTAAATAATCGAGCCTGGACCTGACAATCCAGTGATCAACAGCATGAGCATCGATCTGCGCAATTGGGAATCGATGACATGTGTCAACCAAGTCAGCGAGCCTGACCACCCGATCCCGTTAGTCGCCTCTTACGACAAGCATAATCGTCTTTTGTGGCAAGCATGGGTTGCTGAAGACCTATTCTACCCCGGATCTTCACGGGTCACTGTCTGTGATGCTCATGCACTCATTCCATCGGAATCAACAACATGCTCTTTGTAACTCACCAACACACTGCATGAAGGGAGTCTCCCAGAAACCTGTACCCAGACATGTGATGTTGGTTGATCCACTGGCGTGTACAAACCCAGGAGTACATCTGTACACCGCGATACTGTTCCGTGTTGTATTGTCTGTGATCACAACAGTGTTGGCAACAACCGGTGGACTGCTGCAGTCGACTATATGCAACACAGATATATGATGGTTTTACTTACAAATCATTTAACGTTCATGCCTACAATGAACAATAACATCGTCATATAAACGTTAGAGCCTGGAAAAGGAAAGAAAATAACATTCCATCTATGTGAATTTTACATGTGATACAATGTTTACCAGTTTCGTAAAATTACTAGCCTGGGATTATTTCACTAATATCCCGCTGTGGAAGAAATAAAAAACGAAATTATGCAGGTCTTAATTGTTTCACCACACCCAGTATGCCCCAGCAAGGGTCTGGTGCCTACAAATCTAGAAACATCATCAAATCAAATCTAGTCTTTCCGTCCCACAACAACAAGGTTCTGGTGAACCAAAGGGAGGAAACCCCAAAGCGAAAATCATTACGAAAGGAGACTTTACCCTACAGGGAATCACTATTGTAACACTTACGTCTTTACGCGCAAAGTTATATCGAAACTTTCATCAAAGGGTGATCAATATAGGTATTAGGTGTGGTTAAAATTGTTACGCGTAAAACTAACGTCTGTACGCATGAACCTTTTATCCCAGTGAAGACTTAGAGCTGCATTACGCGTAAAGCATCTGACTTTACAACGACTAAAGTCACTCACCAACAGAAAGGTATGTGACGGGTTGCTATGTTGGGCCGAATGATGATCCACAAGCGTTGTCCCAAATCAGTAGTCGGTTAGTATTTTCGTCAGTTACAAGTAAAATAACCTACTTATCTTTACGCAGTACAATTTTTTCACCTATACAACACTCAATTCAGATTGGTCAAAGTATTTACACGTAGTAACGATTAACACGTATAATCATACACGAAAGTAATGACGAATAATGAATTAGCTTTACGCGTGAAACATTAACATTACCCGTAAAACGAATAGCGTTACGCGCAAAATAACTCGTTTGACACTCACAAAGCAGCTTTACGCGTATCAAGTGTGTAACGTTTAATCTAACGTTGAATTTTGATTGATCAATGTACTTAGGTGTAATACGTTTAGCTTTACGCCTAAAACAACCACTTGTAAAACGACTATCTTTACATGTACAATAACTAGCTTTACACGTACAAAGCAGCTCTGAGAGTGCATTAAGTGTTTGTAAACCTAGATTGATTTCCCTCGAGTCAAATTCTCTACGCTTAACGTTGATCATCTTCTCATGCTATCCGTTAGCCATATCTGTTCGTATCATTATAACCAGCTTCCAAGTACACCTACGCATACCGTTTATGTAGACTGTAAGTCTTATAGCTCTGAAGTACAGCATCAAACAGCATCCAAACAATGCGTAATTGATATTTAGGCCGTAACATCCCTTGCGTGTCTCTTTCATGCAAATGATGAAAAGGAAAGTATTTGTGAACGTTCATGAAACATTTCGAAACCGTTTTCAACTTTAATCAAAATGGAAATTCAATGTCGTGATTATACGACCATGTTGATGTGTACCTTCACAATATATCCCCGGTTCTTCCCATGTGCCTGTATCGAGGCAGGTGATGACTGGTGACCCCGACACGTGCGCATACCCAGGTTTACACGTGTACTCAACTGTCTCGTTCACAAAACCATCGGTAGGCGAGACCTCGCCTCTGTTTATGGAAGGAGGTTTTCCACAGTTCACTGAAGCAGAAAGGCTTTCTTGTGATAAGATCAACTGTATTTTCTTGTCTCACGCATTGGTGTTATGTATTTTTATGGTTGTCTTTGATGTTCTATAATCGTCTTTACGTTTGAGAGCGGAAGAATTGATGTTATGTTCTTTGGGTTGTGTGTATGTGCGTGTGTGTATGTCTGTTTGTGTGTGTGTGTGTGTGAGAGAGAGAGACAGACAGACAGAGAGAGAGAGAGAGAGTAGGATCCTGTCTTGTTATATAGACACTCCGGTCGTTGTGTGGGCAATACTTTGCTCTTCTCACTATTTTCATGTAAACAGAGCTCTTGCCCAGTTTGTTGTTGTTTTTGGTTGTTGGTGGTGGTTCCTGCCACTAATCTTTTGAAGATGACGACATTCGAAACCATATGGGAAATATATGTTACAATTTCGGGATCATGTCGATGTGTACCTTCACAATATATCCCCGGTTCTTCCCATGTGCCAGTATCTGGGCAGGTGATGACTGGTGAGCCCGACACGTGCGCATACCCAGGTTTACACGTGTACTCAACGGTCTCGTTCACAAACCCATCGGTAGGCGAGACATTGGTTCTGTTTATTGCTGGCGGGTCTCCACAGTTAACTGAAACATATCGTAAAATGTTTACTGATTTCGGAGCCAGGCACTGCCATATTACACTCTGGAAAACGAATCTCTACCAATTAAGATAATAATCAAAATATGGAACAGCTGAAGAACAAACCTTACTTCCTTCATATATAGCACACATTAACGTTCAGGAAAAAAGTAATGGCTAAGGTTTCATTGTTCACATTTTGTTCACTCGAATGATGCTGAAGGTGATTTAGGATGGTGCGACCTAGTTTAGAAAGTCGATATGACATTATAGTGTGATCTTGTTAAAAAAAAAAAAAGTCGATATGACCTAAAGGTGCGATCTAGTTAAAAAGTTCGATTTGACCTGATGGTGCGACCTGGCTCACAAATCGTTATCACATGATGGTGCGAGCTAGTTAAAAAAGTCGGTATGACATGATTGTGGCCTAGTTAAAAAGCGGATATGATGTGATGGTGCGACTAATGGTGCGATCTAGTTCAGAAAGTCGTTTTGACCTGATGGTGCTTTAGTTCAAAAAGTGTGGTGCGGTGGGGTAGCCTAGTTCAGAAAAGTCACGCCGAAGACCTGATTCGAATGCTCACATACAATGTGTGAAGCCCATTTCTGGTGTCCCCCGCCGTGATGTTGCTGGAATATTGCTAAAAGCGGCGTAAAACCAAACTCAGTCAGTAGTTCAAAAGTGGATATGACATGATGGTGCGACCTAGTTCATAAATTTGATATGACATGGTGCGACCTGGCTCAAATGTCGTTATGACATGATGATACGACCTGGTTACAACAATTGTATAGGACAAGATGGTGCAACCTAGTAAAAACTAGACGTTGTGACGTGATTGTCGACCTAGCTCATTCAGTAATTGTAACCATATGGTGCGACCTACATGTAGCTCACTCAGTCGTTGTGAGCAGATGGTGCGACCTTGCTCGTAATGATATGATGGTGTGCACGGGTGTATCTAAATTAAATATAATCGTTGTTTTCATTATCTATTTCTCGAATCTCAAAAAGAAACAACACATATGTTGCCGACTGCTTGTGATAAATGGATCAATATTTCTTCCACTGTCTTGTACTTACCTGCGCATTTCATATCAGCCATTTCCCATACGCCTGTGTCAAGACAGGTGGCCTGGTCAGACCCATACTGCTGCTTAAGGCCATCTCGGCATGAATAAACGGCAGTGTGTCCCAGCAACGTTGAATTGATGTTAACATCTGTATGGTCTATCGACGGAGGAACGCCACAGTCGACTGGAAGGAATTTGAGATTTAAGAAACAACACAGGTTTTAACAACCAACTTATTTCTTAACCAGTGTCAACATCAGAAGCTGTATATATTCCTTTCGAATTATAACATGTATTTCAAGAACATGAACATTGGAAACAAGTTGTCCTGTCACTTCACTGACTCTACAGCGTTGGACCAGATGTCACCAGCCAGAACAGTCTCATCATATTTGATAGTGTTTGTTGTTTAACGCCGCACTCGACACGATACCAGCTATATGACAGCAGTCTAAATAATCGAATCTGCCCAGTCATCAACATTATGAGCATCGATCAACGCAGTTCGGATACGATGACATCAGCGATCCCGTTATTTGCCTCTTGCGACAAGCACGGGTTGTTGAAGGCCAATTCTTATTCTTCACATGCTCATGCCCATGATAGCATGGTTTAGTGCAGTGGCTAAAGGTGGAAATAGATACTTGGCGGACTAAAGCAGGACACTTTGCAAAGTGCTGGGGAATATCATAATAAAATATATTTTTGTGGGGTGCCCGATTTTTGGGCCCCTTTTCCGAAAAATCCAACATGGCGTCCAAGATGGCAGCCAAAAATCAAAGATTTCCACATTTTACACTATATGATCTTACCCCGCTGGATTATAGCAGAAAACCTTGCACAGTGCTAGGGAACATCATGATAAAACATATTTTTGGGATGTGCCCGATTTTTGGGGCCCATTTTCCCCAAAATCCAAGACAGCCGCACAGAATCACAGAGTTCTGAAATCCACCAAGAATGGTCGCCGACTAAAAAAGTCTTCATTTGTTGCAATATGTGAGATATATTCGTCGTTCAAAGGGCTATTTCTAATATTTTCAAGAAATCTAACAAACAAGATCTATGTGTTTTTAGAAAAAGATATAATTCGTCATCCAATTAATGAAAAGGTTTCTGTTTTATTCAGTCACCTCACATCATTTTGTCAAACATCGATCTCTGTGATTGTGAAGTCTCCTTTAACAGTTCCCATTGAAGTTACAGAGCGATGTGCAGAGAAGTTGAGAAGATCTACAAATGCACTTCTTTGAGCATAGAGGTTGAGACTTGCAGCCACATTTGATAATGTTGTTGATAATGGTACCAGCAGAAAACCTATTTCAATAGACACTATTTCAAGCTCTTCCAAACCTACACTTCCAGACAGTTACTGTATAGTTCCTGCAGTAGCCTGCAATGTGGAGAGAGTTGATGTTCCTGGAACTCACACGCATCACCAAAGCTAAAGAAGAATCTTGGCTCAATCACTGCATTGGCCTTCTTGCTAAAGAACATTTGGAAAAGGATGGGTTTATTGCCTTGTGCATTTCATGCTTCTCGTCAATCCCTGGAACAGGTTGCAACAGGAACAAGTTCTCTCCCGCGAAGCTTCTTTAAGGATACAGCAGCAAGTCTTGCTATGGTTAGGCATGGTATGTCTATCAACAAGACGGTCACAGACCATTGCAATCCAGGACAACTCCCAGTCATGGCTGTAGACCAACCATTTTTGCGCTTGCAAATATGTTAAATGGAGATGGCCTAATGTGTTTGGTGAGGACGTGTACACTATCAGGTCTTCACATTGAAATAGCCTTATGGAAAATGGTTGGAGACTTGTTCGAAGATTCTGGGTGGACGTCAGCACTAACAGAAGCGGGTATTGCATCAAGTGGATCAGCTGAATCTTTCATTTCGGTGTCTCATGTTACAAAGACATGCTCATCAAAAGCTGCCATATCACTAGCAAAGCTTCAAAGAGATGCTTACATGTCCTCACTGGAACCGCATGTTCAACAATCAAGACTGAAATTAAATTGGATGTCAGAGAAAAGAGTCCAACATTCAAATACTGGGATTTGATTCTTCATCTCGAGACAATGATACCAATCTTTGTCAAGTCCCATCGCTAAAGAAACATGTTTCTGTACATCCAGGTAATGGAACAACTTGTCCCTTGGTTCTTTGCTCTTGATCACACCAACTAGGCACACTGGCTGTCAGTTTACATCAGAGATATGAAATCCCTTCCTGTTGACAGAAGAGCTTCAGATCCATGCCCAGGTTTTGGATCAACCTCATGAACAAAACAGCAACGTTGTAAAACACTCAGGTGGGGCAGTTGAATTAACAGAAAATTTGCCTTAACTGGATGGATGATATCAGGACCAGAACAAGCAAGAATTCTGCAAGAGTTTGAGAAGCAAGATGACAAGGTGGATATCTTACAGTCAGATTGTGAAATCAGTCATTTCGTGAAATGACTAAACATTTCAGTCATTTTGTGAAATGACTAAGAGGATCAGCCATTTCGCTGTTGGCTATATAAATAGGTTTGGACATTTCCATCTAATTTGATGTAATTGTGCTTGATAACGATTGCCAATATTTGTAATGCACGAAATAAAACGCCAAGACGCATTTTGTGGCCCCAACTCTCAGAAACACAAAACAGATGTCTTAGTCGGATACATGGGAAAGATCGTGCGAAAAATCAGTATAAATGGCCTGTCCAACACTGCAATATCACTGCACATAAAATCACACAGAGAGAATGCCAAGGTTAACCCAGGAAGAAAGAGAACGAGCAGCAGAGATAGTTGAATGTCTTAGTTATTTCATGAAATGACTGAAGTTTTTAGTCATTTCACGAAATGACTGATTTCATAATCTGACTGAAACAGATACAAGAAGCAATGAACAAGCATTTGCTACACAACAGACATTTAAGACTCAAGTCAACAACGTATGTGGCACAGTTGCTTCGATGGGAAATCCCTTCCTGGAAGAGTCTCCTGAACTGATGACCCTTGATTTCAGTCATTTCAGTTGGTGGAGCCGTCGTAGCATCTATGAAATCAATGGAGAAAACAGGAAAAGACAAATATGAGAAGTTTGAAAATGATGTTTCCATTCACAGCCTCAGTGTCAATTCACAGCCTCATCAAGAAAAATCACCTCCTTTTTTCAAGCGACCACAAACAAAACCTCAGTCTGAACCAAACAGCAAACGAATGACCTGAAAAATGACTACAGTCTCTTCAGTCAGGTGTTCATTGATAGTTAGGTACGTCAATCTGATTTAAAGTCAATTCTTTTCTCATGAAAACCACCCGTGGCCACCATCCATATCAATTCATGGAACACTTCATTTGCCAAACTGCAAATCAGAGCTCTTAGATTGTCTTGCATACTTGAGTATGACTGTTGGAGACAACACGAGAAAAGCGAAGAAAAGGCAGTAGAAGAACAGTGTCCCGCCACACTAGACTGCTTAGAATCAAAGGACAAAGAAGAGCTCTTTGCATTCTTAACAGATGGTGTGGCTGGCAGCTCTTACGAACCGGGAAAGGTGATGCTCATAACAGCTGTGGAGTCAGTGGTGACAGCAGGGAAGTGAAGAGGATATGCAGTGCACTGATCAAGAAGAGGCGGATTCCAGAATCTGCCTTCATGTCAAAAATGCTTTGCAAAGAGGTGCTACAAACATCATGACTAGCACTGTCAACACAAATATGTTGTCAAAACTGGTTGAACTAAAGTCTGTTGTTCAGCTGTGGGTGCCATTAGGAAAAGGGAAAAACTTCCTTTTCCTGCACATAATCCATTCCAACCTGTGGACAAAGACCCAGCAGTGTTTTCATAATTTGAGCGATTCACATGCATCATGTCTGACATCACTACATCAGTGAACATAGTCAACAAACTGCGACAAGAGATGTTCTGCCACAGCCGCAAGATCAAGTTGATGCAGAACCTTCCTCCTACTAAGCCTAAATCTAAGCACACATTTTTGAATTTTTATTCACGGAAATTTTAAAGCAACGTTTCCATTATCAGTTCGTATATTTGTTAATTCTGTCGATATTTCTCGTTGAAGTCGCTTCGATTATTTTTCTCGTTATTCAAAGAAGTTAAAAAGGTCGATTTGTCCAGTGAAATAGACTATTTTCTCTTCAAAGTTCCTTCCGGATCATAGTATTAAAATTAAGGGGCCGAACTATGTCCGGGTTAAAAACATGCTATTGCCCTATACCTGTCTCTGTTTTATGCAGTACTGTAGTGTAATGTTAATATCAAGTTCTTCCACGTTGTAAGCTTCATTCGATCACGTCATTAATCGACCGTGGTTAATCTAGGTGGATAAAGCGTTTGCTCGTCACACCAAAGACTGGGTTCGATTCCCTTACATGGTATCATTGTGAATCCCATTACTGGTGTTCCCCCGCTGAAATATTTATAAGTGGATGAATGCATTTCATCTCAGTCCTTTCACTAGCTCACTGAAAATAGACACGGGTCAATGAATGCCACACCGTAAAGCTTCCCTGACTTAACTCATGACGGAAGAAATGGCCTATTGACTACGTTAGCCATGCCTCGGGTTAACCTAGTGGTTAAAAGCATTTGCTCGCCACGCCGACGACCCGGGGTCAATACCGCCATGGGTACAATGCGTGAAAACTCAATACTGGTGTCCCCCGCCGTGATATCGATGGAATATTACTAAAAGCTGCATGAAACAATATTCACTCCGCTCACTCCGGTGGGGATACAACTATACACAAAATAAATAAAAATTATGAAACATGAAATAAATTTATTATGAAACATCGGAATACAAAAATTGGGTCAGGCGGTAGATGGGAAACAGGAAAAATATGGACAGCCTCATCAATACATGTACACAATAATCCTCATGGACCGTAATCCGCACAAGTTCTAGACGCCAGTTGACCCAGCAGTGTTTGTCACCCAAAGCCCGCAGGCATGATCGGATATTTACATGACCTACACTTGCCGTCACCAATCTCTGTTGTAAATCTAAGATTCAATTTCGACAGGTATATTACCAAACATCCTTTGATATATGTTTATAGTTCACTCGTTTGACCTTATACACGGGATGATATCCATGAATATGTTCTTGGTTTGTCAGAAACATGCACATATTTCACTGGGTTTGTCAGAAACAGGCGCGTATTTCACTGGGTTTGTCAGAAACAGGCGTGTATTTGACTTGGTTTGTCAGAAACACGCACGTATTTCATACCGATATCACCTGTTTTTTTACAGTGTTTCCAGGATCCTTCGTGGCGTGTCAGATTGCTGTATTGCTAGTGCTAGTATTGTTGTGTTGGGTGAAACTCGGCATGGATATTTATCTGGCAATCCTGGGAGCAATCAGGACGAACCAGGGTCCTGATCCACAAAGCGTTCGTAACGTTACGACCTGTCGTAACTTCGTACCATATCATTGACTTACGAATGGCGCAATGCTACGAACGCTTTGTGGATAGCATCAGAGGATTCGTACCCACGGATTCAGACCCAGAATGTTTCTGGCGTGCCAAAGCGACGCAGCTCTGCACAGCGAATTGTTCGCCTTAGCCTCAGACATGATTGTACGCTGGCTGGCACACTTCACTACATTTGGAGTAGTTAATGCAGATGGCCACTTCTGGGCTCATTTTAATAAGGGGCGGTGGGGTAGACCCGGGTTCGATTCCCCACGTGGGTACAATGTGTGAAGCCCATTTCTGGTGTCCCCCGCCGTGATTTTGCTGGAATATTGCTAAAAGCGGCGTAAAACTAAACTCACTCACTCATTTTAATAATACTATAATACTTTTTTTTTCGTTTACGCCGCTCTCGGCAATATTCCTGCCACTTGAAAGTAATCGAAACTGGACCAAACAGTCACCTGTTTGACATCGTGAGCATCGATCTGCGCCATTTGGATACGATGACATGTTTCAATCAAGTCATCTTGTCTGACAACCCGATCCCGTTAGTCGCCTCTTACAACATGCATAGGGTTGCGGAAAACCAATTTTAACACGTATGATTGTTGTGTGTGCGTTTGTTTAACTCAGCACTCGTCGCCCTAATGTGATAGTAGAATTAAGATAACCTATTCTAGTCCCAATCCACAAAGCGTTCGTAACGTAACAACCAGTCGTAACTCTATAGTTTAGCATAGGCTTACGAATGTCATAGCCTTACTAACGGGACCCTGATTTTGAATTTTTAAGTTGTTCATAGTTCATTAATGACAAAACCACTGGTAAATTGTACCACCCTAATCATAAGTATTGCCCTGTTTGGTATTCCCTTATTTGTCAGCCACTGGGTGTACGTGATTAATTTTCTCAGCCCCATTATCTCAATCATACATGTGTACGAATCCGTCTAATCCTTATCTAAACTGACTTCTATGTGTTAGCATCGGAAACAAAATTCAATTATCTTATCCGCTGTAATTACTTAAAAGCCACATCAACTCACATGATCAACACTGGCTATCGGTAAACATGCTTCTGTACATCGCTGTAATTCTGCCTGATCTTGGGCCAGTTGAGTTGTAAATAGCGTTTCGTGTATCGGGCGTGTCACCTTAAAGGAAATCACTGTCCGTTCTAATTGGGTCAGGTCGGTAAGTCCGACCATTGGATGGGTGGAAAAACAAACTGATCGGTTTGCAGGGGTATGTCGTTAACGTCGACTGGTTCAAGACAATAGGCAGTCAACGGTACGGTTACTGCTAAAATGTTCACCTGAAAATAACTGAACAAGGACCACGCTGTAAAATGACATTATTATTTGTGCATTCATTTAGACAGTAATTTCTATTATCTACATGATAAATAATGAATATACATATGCTCACTGTATATAATAAGCAAAGAATCCCATTTACCAATGCTTTAAAACAGTACCTCAACAATGCCAACACTTTTTTGATCTCAAGCACATTCTGACAAATCCCAAATTAATTAAACCACTCAGTAAATATCTCATTCATACAAAATTATACCAAACAATATAGCAACAAAAAACAGTAATACCACTTTTTACCATTTTAAAATTGTTATAAATAGGTATGTATGTTCTTTTAATTTTCAAATTTTAACCTTTTACATGTTTATCATTATTTCCATAATAAAGATGTTTTAAACATGGGTTGGTTAAAGAAAATACAATAACAATAACAATAACCACTTACTACACTACATCTAAATATGCATATACTAAATTCCAAATCTCTGTTACTCTTTACTTATTTCATATTCTTTACCTTTTTTGAATTCGGCCTCCCGTTCAAATTTCCCTTAACACTCAGATTTTGTTTGTTTATTTTATGTTCTTTTTTGGGTAGTACACAACCACTCTTTCAAAATTTCTATTTTTTGTTCCCCTTCATTTCTTAATAAGTGTACTACCCTGTCGCCGAAATACCTTAATTGTGCGTGCGACGTTAAATAAAGCAAATAACAACAGCCCACTGTCGAGACTGTTGATCTGCAGTCTTTTCTGGATGGGATGCATCTCCACGAGATCCTTTCTCCCATTCCCCTGTTCACAATGTACATATAATAACATTTACATATATGTATCTTACACCACGAGAAGTAGGCAGAAACTTGTAGTCTAACCGTACATTTGCCATAACTAAAGTTGTAGAAATGGTGATGAAAACTGTCATTTCCAACATTCTTATAGCAAGCAAGTTTATGTAAGAAATTGAATAACTCACTACTAATGAACTGAGTGAATGAATGTTCATATTATTAATCAAAGTCATTGAGTTCACTTTTGAGTTTAGTTTTACGCCGCACTCAGCAATATTCAAGCTATATGGCGGCGGTCTGTAAATAATCGAGTCTGGACCAGGCAATCAGTGATCAACAGCATGAGCATCGATCTGCGCTATTGGGACATGTGTAAAGTATATGTGCGGGACTTGGATATATTCTTTGAGCATACTGAGTTTCTGACTGAGTATGGTTTTGCGCTGCCACTTGTTAGCAACATTCCAGCAATATTACGACGGGGACACAAGGAATGGGCTTCACACATTGTACCCATGTGGTCCCAGCTGAGGTGGGACGGAAGGTTAGCCTTTGTGGTGACAGCGTTCGCTCGTCACGCCGAAGGTCCAGGTGTAATTCCCGACGTGGCTACTATGTAGAAAGTACCATTTCAGGTGTCCCGCGCGATAATTATACAATGTTGTTAAACGCTTCTAGAAACATACTTAGTCACTCACTCACTAACGGACGGTCATGTCACACCGTTTGTCATTCGGTTGATCATCTGTCCATACATTTTCTTTTCGGTTGATCACTAGATTGTCTGGTCCAGACGCGGTTACTTACAGACCACCGCCATATAGCTGGTACCTTGCTGAGTGCGGATTTTAAACAAGAAACGAATACACAATTTAAGAAATAACCCTTTTCGCCACATCCCTTGAAACGCCGCCATAGCATCGTCTCTTTACCTTAAATCGTCCTTTGATCGTCGGTCCATATCTTTGTTTCGCCATATCCCTTGAAACACCGACACAGAAAGGTCTTTACCTTAAATGCTGTAGTGATATCTTCATGTATTTAACACAGACACTATGGACAGTTACTGTGGTAATACCGTGGACATGGACGACTCAAACTTGGATTCAATGAAGCTGCGCCTGACCTACTCCAGCAAGTACAGAAGCAACATGGACTGTAAAATGCGTATCAAGACCAGATCTGGCCAACGCTTGTCGTTCAAGTTCCTCGATATGGATATTGCTAAGATTTTCACTTGTGATGACTACTTGGAGATACGCGATGGATCGTCTTCCTCTTCATCAGGTTAGTGCCTTGCAAATAGTATAGTTCTTTGAAGGGCAAACATGAGTCAAATGATTTTTGGATATCAAATAAATTTATTATTCACGACGTCTGGGGGTCATTACTTCTCCAGGTTAATGGTAGATATGGACAGTATATGTCCATATCCAGTCTGTATCATAAATTTATTCAATGTCAGTCAGGTGAGCAACAGTAAATCATAGGTTCTGTGAAGGGCATTAAGAAGTGCAAAGCGTTAGTCAAAGGGTTTTTGGATATCAACTGAATCTATTAGACAGAACGTTTGGGAGTCAATTCTGTACTTCTTCAGTGAGTGCCTTGCAAATAGTAACGTTCTTTGAAGAAGTGAAAAACGTGAGTCAAATGATTTTTGGATATCAACTAAATTTATTATTCACGACGTCTGGGGGAAATTTATTTTCTTCTCCAGGTTAATGATAGATATGGACAGTATATGTCCGTATCCAGTCTGTATCATAAATGTATTCAAGCCAGTCAGGTGAGCAACAGTAAATCATAGGTTCTGTGACGGCATTAAGAAGTGAAAAACGTTAGTCAAAGGGTTTTTGGATATCAACTAAATGTATTAGACACGACGTTTGGGAGTCAATTATTTACTTCTCCAGGTTAATGGTAGATATGGACAGTATATGTCCGTATCCAGTCTGTATCATTAATTTATTCAATGTCAGTCAGGTGAGCAAAATTAAATCATAAGTTCTGTGACGGGCATTAAGAAGTGAAAAACGTTAGTCAAAGGGTTCTTGGATATCAACTAAATGTATTAGACACGACGTTTGGGAGTCAATTCTATACTTCTTCTTCGGTGTGTGCTTTTACAAACTGTCAATCTTTGAAGGGGCACTAAAAGAGTGAAAAACATGGAGTCAAGAGTTTTTGGATATCAACTAAATATATTAGACACGACGTTTGGGGAGTCAGTTCGTTTCGTGAGTGAGTGAGTTTAGGTTTACGTCGCACTCAGCAATATTCCAACTATATGGCGGCGGCCTGTAAATAATCGAGTCTGGACCAGACAAGCCAGTGATCAACAGCATGAGGCATCGATCTGCGCAATTGGGAACCGATGACATGTGTCAACCAAGTCAGCGAGCCTGACCACCCGATCCGTTAGTCTCCTCTTACGACAAGCATAGTCGCCTTTGTAGCAAGCGTGGGTTGATGAACACCTTTTCTACCCCGGATCTTCACGGGCCAATTCGTTTCGTCTTCACGTGAATGACATATACTGGATATGGGCTGGATATGATATTTTTATCGTTTGAGGGACGAATGAGATAGAAATTACTTTCTCTAGCGTAGAAATACATCAAAGGGGTGTAGTTCAGTTGTAGGTGGCGCCTAATGAGAGTATATAAGGCGTATGATATTTGAATTGTCATTCTCGCTTGTTGTGCACCAAGTATACATTGCGTCATGGATACTTCTGAATCTAGCAATCCATTAACGACAAACTCGACGCCATTTTAAATGAGTATGGACTCTTCTCAGGTGGATTTGGAACGCAACATCCAATCTAGAATAGAGGCTAGTCTCGAGGGTGTGAGAGAAGAGTTTGCGAAAACCACAAACGAAATTCAGAAATTGAAGGCCGATTAAGACTTTACATGGCCTAGAAGGTAATAGAATCCAGTACAATTTTAACACAGAGACACTTGAGGCCTTTCGTTAGATTGAATTTGGTCCCTAGAGTGATGAGAGGTTAGACTACATTAAAGAAGCTGTGCATAGCGAGGTATCCAGGATAGAGAGAATCGTAATAAGTTGATACGAACAGCTGATTCTTCCGAAGCTGGTTGGGAGACGGTACGTCGCTACGTGTCACGTGATTTGGCTGGAGAACTCTGATGATGACAGGCGTATTACGCGAGCAGAGAACAAGGCTATCAAAGAAATCTGCCAAGAATCTGCGATCTTCACGTGGACACCGACCTGCATCCAGTACCCAGTCTGTGCAGACGCGGTGGTGCACAACATAAGCATCAATGTGTGTTATGTTATTTGTTGTATTGTGTTGGAGGGGCTAGGCGAAATGTCCATATCCTGTATATCTGTGTATCATAAAATTCCCTTCACCGCTGTGTAAATATATGTTGCGTGCTTCCGTTTTCCTCATCATCAAACGAATATGATCAGAGAAAATCATGTGACGTTCAGGTCCTTGAGTTGCTATTTTAGGAGATATTCGCCTGAAGTATTGTCTACGCCTGGGAATTTTACAATCCTGCGGCACAAAACCCCCAGAAACCAAACCAATATCTATGCTGTTTCAGGAGAGTTGGTACATCTACGACAAAGAGAAACGTTTTTTCTTTTTCAGTCTTGGAGTTTACCAGATATTATTGGGGAGACCATACCATCTAGCCTAACTCAGCAAGCCCAGGAGAAACGCTTTTCTGAAGTTTTGAAAGCGGCTCCTACAAAGGAGGGATGACAGCTTCGCCATCCTTGTGACCGAAGCTTTCAACTTGCGAATTTGAGGCAAAGACACAGGTGTCATTTTATGCTGGCAAAATGATTTAAGTTGTTTGTCTGTTTTATTATTTTTTAGTATAATAATCTCTTTTTATAGCGCCGAGTTCCAGCTCGGCTGCTCCTGAAGCGCTTGTTTTTCCCTCGATCGTAGGATGTCAATCTCAGCGGCACAACGTATTATCAATCTCTCAACTCCCTGTAAGTATACCATCCTCGATAATCTCCAGGATATACGTTACGATCACTCTCCACTATACCCTGGATGCATCCACGGCTTGGGGCGATGATTTTATTACCTCCCTTGGCTGGCTTTTTATCCAGTCAGGTGCCTACGCTGGGAAGTTGAGCGTACCAATCACTACTCACTATCGCGTCTTAAATTATCTAACCGTTTAAACTTGGCAACACAATTGATGCAGAGGTACTCTGAAAAAAGTAGAAGGAGTTCTTTCATATATTCTTTTTAAAGTTTCAGATCTGTGAATTTGTCTTTATTATTTCCCCAAAATCTGAGTGGCACTGCGAACAAACCTTTGCGACTGCGACCGCTATCTGTGTTGACACTGGCAAGCTCGGTTGTAACGGCGGCTTAGCTGATTGGCTACTGTGAGAATGCGGAGCCAGCCAAGGGAGGTAATAAAATCATCGCCCCAAGCCGTGGATGCATCCAGGGTATAGTGGAGAGTGATCGTAACGTATACCCTGGAGATTATCGAGGATGATGTATTTATTCTTAAAGTTTATATTTAGCTATCAACCAAACTATCATGGGTTTGAATTTCAGGTTCCTGAGATTTTCCTGACTTGTGGGGTGTCATGATTATTTCGGGTTTCCTCCAACATAAAACAGGCAGTGAAATATTGTGCATTTGTTAAAGATACGAAGTGTAACAGCGACGAATTTTCCTGCGACAACGGCCGGTGCATCGACCAAAGTCTGTACTGTGACTCATATGACAACTGCGGCGACGACAGCGACGACTGCTACATGGATACAAATTGGTGGGTCTGGATGGTCATCGGCATCGTTGTCTTCATCATATTCTGTGCTATCGTTATTACCGTACGTCATCTGTTGTTGCTGCTGCAAGAGGCATCTCGTGGAACAGTACTTAAGGTAAGCTGGCAGAATCAAATCTCCATCCCATTGGTCATAGCGGTTGAGACCCGTGAAGATCCGGGTTAAAATTGGTCTTCAGTAACCCATGCTTGTAAGAGGCGATTAACGGGATCGGGTGGTCAGGCTCGCTGATTTGGTTGGATACATGTCATCGTATTCCAGTTGCGTAGATCGATGCTCATGCTGTTGATCACTGGCTTGTGTGGTCTAGACTCGATTATTTACAGACCGCCGCCATTTAGCTGGGATATCGCTGAGTGCGGCGTAAAACTAAGCTCACTCACTCACTTATTCAATGAGTCATAGCGGTCAGAATTCTACATCTGTCGTCACCACTGGAGAAAATGACATTTCGGTTGTCCTTTAAATGTCCGTTTGAGCGCGTTTGTTGTTTGACGCCGCACTCAGCAATATTCCAGCTATATGGTGTCGGTCTGTAAATAATCGAGTCTGGACCAGACAATCCAGAAATCAACATCATGAGCATCTCTCTACGCAATTTTGTCAACACATGCGTCAGCCAAGTCAGAGAATCTGGTCACGCATGGATTACTGAAGACCGTTTTGTAACCCGTATCTTTCGGATTGACCACGTAAGCAGTCAAATTGGTATCTCCTTTGACAAGGAGAAGAGACTTCAGAATCGGAGGAACAGAGTTATATGTTTTTTTGTAGTCAATCTAGCACATGGAGAGGTTGCGGTGATATGTTTTAGCCTCTTCCAAAATCATTTTCTGTACATGTTCTTGCTCCCTTCTGCTCTCTGTAAATGATATCATTAGCAGAGCAGTATGACAACACGAGGTTTGTCAAACACCCTGTGAATAATTTGTATTGTGTATTCAAACATGTGATTGGGCGGAAGTTTTTGGGATCAGTCAAGTCTCCTTTTTGGGAAGGAGTATTGTGCGACCTTTGCAGAACCATGGAGGAACATCATCTGTGTCCACGAGAGAATTGAAACAGTGAAGTAATGGTGTTTTGACACATGGGAATAGTTTCCAGTACCGGTTTCGAATGCCATCAGGCCCTGGAGCTGTATTAGACTTGGACCTTTTTATAACACTTTTCAGGCAATCTGGTGAGATGTTATAGACAAACGACCTAGTTCATTACTTTCTTATGCATTGCATGGTCATAATCACGGACCCATGGTGCCTCAAGGTTACAGTCGCCGGGTACAGACCACAACTGTTCCAGAACCTTGCATTGGCAGCCATGGGAGGCCGTTTATCATGCCCACCATCACCATTTGTTTTAAGTTGCCTGCAGAAGTGTTTTTCATTATTTCTAAAAAGTTTATTTTGTTTGAAGAATTTAATTTTCTCTTCCCATTTTCTCTTTCATTCAGGCCAAACTTTTATTTTTGCCTTTAGGGAATCGACAATTTGAAGAAGCATCTTTTCTTTCGTTGTCTTATACTGTAATTTTAATTTTCTCCAAATTGACTTTTGTCGTTTAGACATGGGATTCCGTCATGATCTTAACTTCAGGCACAGCTCTATCCAAGAAATGTATTTTCTAGTTCCCGTCAGTTTTACAAGAAACCGTTTTTTCTTTGGTGTATTGTTCTTAGTATTAGATGATTTTTTCTTTGAAGTTCCTCCAAGGTTCGAACGGCAGCATAGGCACAGCAGTTAACTTCATGTAATGAACAGTCCGCAGAAGGTTTCATAGAAATAATGTAATTTAATAAATTAATTTCATTTTGGGGAAAAGATTCACTTGTTTGTTTGATTGGCCTCCGTTTTTCTAAAGGTATGTCAGATATTTCATCATAAACAGTATGAAACAATATACACACAGGATTTTCGGAAAGATATGCAACTGAGGAAGAGATAGAGTGAGGGTCCGAAACTAACACTTATCAGAGGGGTACAGAAAGTCGGCAGTCTAGACTACCAGTTGTCAGACTTCCATTTTTGTGGAAGTCGCGGTGGCTGAGCGGGTTAGGCGGCTGACTTTGTGTGCTGGCGATTAGGTGCCTGACACTGAGGGTGTGGGTTCGCATCCTAGATGGGACTCAACCCAACAAAAGTACTTAAAATCTGTACTTTACTAAGAAAGTGTAATCCCAAAATAACATATGTTACATTTGACCACTTTCTAAATGGCACTGTGTAGACATTTCCTTCTCACGGTTACTACACACGTTTTGAAAACTTTATGATAGCCTTTATCATACAACTTTTGAGCAAGAGGCATAAGGCGCTCTTCATTGTACCAGTAGAAGTAGGAGAGTATATTCAGAGTCGTTGGTTGGTTGGTTTGTTGTTTAACGCCGCACTCAGCAATATTCTAGCTATATGGCGGCGGTCTGTATATAATCAAGCCTAGACCAAACAATCCAGTGATCAACAGCATGAGAATCGATCTACGCAACTGGGATGCGATTACATGTGTCAACCAAGTCAGCGGGCCTGACCACCCGATCCGTTAGTCGCCCCTTACGACAAGCATGGGTTGCTGAAGACCCATTCTAACCATGATCTTCACGGGTATTTTCAGAGTCAATGGAGTTATTGCCAGTTTGTACACAAATGCTATCCCAAGTTTGTACACGAATGTTAATATCAATCATGAAGTCAACATTTCACAAATTGCTTTGATCTTAAACGTCAAATGACAACTGCTTTCATTTTTTGACAACTTGTCAACGCTGACCTGTGCATGTAATGCTGACAACCCAGTTACCACGGGAATTACAGTAACCCGTTCCCTTGCCAGATTTCATCGTGTATCCTTCGATGCATTCGTATGTCACGGCCTCGTCGGCGAGCTTGTAGAACGTTGATGACGGCGGGGTTGTTATCACTGCGAATGGCACTGCAGGAGGCTGACCGCAATCGACTGCAAAAAGGGTCAATAAGAGTGAATAAGTTTAGTTTTACGCCGCACTCAGCAGTATTCCAGCTATATGGCGGCGGTCTGTAAATAATCGAGTCTGGACCAGACAATCCAGTGGTCAACCGAATGAGCATCGATCTGCGCAATGGGGAACCGATGACGTGTCAACCAAGCCAGCGAGCCTGACCACCCGATCCCGTTAGTCGCCTCTTGCGACAAGCATGGGTTACTGAAGGCCAATTCTAACCCGGACCTTCACGGGTAGGGTCAACAAGAATATCAGACACGATTTAAATTATACGATCATACAATAAAATATACTCTTCCAAAGAAGAAATGGGGAGGAATTCAATAAGGTGGAATTCAAACACTTATTCAGTTCATTCCGAGCCGAGACGGAACAGAGCAGTTTTTGAGGGTCCATGGTGATTACATCAGATATTGGAGACAACGCCCAACTGGGAACGGACGCCTTCATTTATTGAACTTTTTCTAAGCTATAACTGTTAACAAACATTTGATCTTTTATACTGTAACATGTGGCTGCAACTGAATTACATGAGTTATCTCACTTTAAAGCCAGCAGATTAAATCCCTGAAAATACACAATGCTTATCTTTTGTGGGAGAGTATAACAAAAGAAACGGTAAAATACAAAACCCTTTACAAATGAAACACTCGATACGTCCAGTTGGTCAACATGTCAGCATTATTCGCGTTTCTAATGACCATCTGTTCATGGTAATTATCAGTTTTGATACTCGAGAAACAACTGATAGATAGCTTGTCCTCAGGTTGACCAATAATAAACTAAATGTTCGCTCTCAATGATGTGTGTCTGTTGCTATACACATGCAATTTGTTGTTGGGTTCAAACTGAAGATCCGGGTTAGAATTAATCTTCGGTAACCCATGCTTGTGGTAAGAGGCGATTAACGTGAATGAGTGGTCAGGCTCGCTGACTCGGTTGACACATGTCATCGTATCCCAATTGCGTAGATGGATGCTTATGATGTTGATCACTGGATTGTCTGGTCCAGATTTTATTATTTTCAGCCCGCCGCCATATAGCTGGAATATTGTTGAATGCGGCGTAAAACTGAAAACACTTACACACTCAAACTTCCACAGAAAAACAATGGGTCCGTTCTGAAGCAGTCACCATAGAAACCAAACCCCACATTAAAACCTTCTTCTTTAACATTCTTACAGACGACCATTCTCTATTACACCTGTCGGTATGTTAATCGAAATATACAAGACTACATACCTGATATTACAGGCCGGCCATACACCTCAATTTGACATATCTGTAACATGCCAGGATTGTTTCCAAAGTCCACCTCGAAACGTAGAATCTTTCCAGGCACTGGATACCTATTACCTGAACAGACAGCCACGAACCTAGACCCAGCGGGTATAGTATCTTTGTGTTTCATACAGAGGGACCCCAAGTGAGAGTGACTACTGGCAGACCTCACGATCAGATTTGGGATGGAGAAAGCTGGAATCGAATCAAAATAGAAGAATTTGTTTTATTGGTCACACTTTATTCTCATTCTTACAAAAGGTGAATTTTCTAGAACAGTAGGAAAGAATATTCTTTGTCACAATCCTTATATAACTAGATGGCATACGTTCTCAAACATTCACATCATGTCCATTATTTACATATCAGCTCCAGCATTCGATTCAAGAGTCTCAATGTTATCTAAACCAAAACATTATTTCAGGGAGTCTCATCTTACAGGTTTACCCTAATAACAAATACGTGTATCAAATATAAATATTGAATGGAAGCATGGACGAACAGAATGTAAGGAATTCATAAATTAAATGTATATGTATTATGACATATGTAAAGGCACACAGGAACATCGCAATAAACCAATGGTATCGGTATCTGCCAAGACATTGCCCCCAAAATGTAAGTAAAACATATTATGTTGTAACACATGTTAGAACCACTATAAATGCTCAAAAGATGTTCTTGTCATCCCGTGATCATGAATTCCATCAACATGGTAGTCACAGGACATCTGCATCATCCTTCCCTTAAGATGCGGGTTAAAAATCGTCTTTTGCAACCAATGCATGTCGTAAAAAAGCGACTAATGGGATTGGGTGGTCAGACTCGATGACTTGGTTAACACGTGTCATCGTATTCCAATTGCGTAGATCGGTGCTCATGCTGTTGATCACTGGATTGTCTGTCCCAGACTCAATTCTTCACAGACCGCCTCCATATAGCTGGAATATTGCTGAGTGTGGCGTTAAAAACCAGACCAACCAAATCATGGCATGCCCCTTTACCATGAGGTGCAAAAGAGGGCACAGGGGACCTAAAGGTTTATATTTCCTTAAGGATCCCTGCAGACAGTATGGTATGGATTAGTGTTCTGTATACTGTTAGTCTGGAATGAGTCATTGGTCAATGATCAAATGCAAATCCGTCTTGACTGATTGGTGAAAGGACAGTTACCACATTTGTATGATAATTTGCAGAAATTCGTGGCGTGATATATCTGAAATATTGCAGAAGCGGCGTTCAACTCTACCTACTCAGGTCTATTGCGCCAGATGACGAGAACAGAACTTGGGATTGCAACCATACGTTACTTGACATGTCCAGATTTACACATTTCCAGAAGCATGAAGGAGAAGATGTACAAAACGCACATTAAAGTGTGTAGTTTCATTGAAGGAACCAACGGAAAACAGAGGACTGCACGCATGTCCCACTCGCTACTGTGATCTTAATGGAATACTGCTAAAAGTAGCATAAAACCACACTCATTCAGTCACTGTGGGATCACACATGGTGATCACACGAGCTCTGCAGAATGAGGGAAAGCCTGTTACGACTTAAATTGTAATAAAAACGCAAATTGTAATACTTGCAGCGAATTGTAATAAACTTGACGTAAATTGTAATAAAAACGTAAATTGTAATAAAAATTGACGTAAATTGTAATACGCAAATTGTAATAAAAATTGACGTAAATTGCAATAATTTTCGTTGCGGTAAAATGTAATAAATATTAACGTAAATTGTAATAACAATTTTAATCACTCGTAAATACGCAGGTGTTTGTTTTTCGTTGCATTTCATACATCAAATAAGCTTGTTAGGGCGATAACTCAAGAAAGAAATGATGGATATGGTTCAAATTTGGTACCAAGGTACAATGTATATTGGCGAGATTCACCGACACAAGTGAAAAAGAGTGACCTTGAGATAATTTTCAAGGTCACAGCAAAAATCTGATTAAACATCTGTATAGCGCTACATATCCAGAGTCCTGCTCATGTGCGCTTAGTCGGATACCCGTTTGAAGAGGATGGTTTTGCGACAAGGTCGGAAACTGTTGATATTTTCCGATTTTCTGACATTTTCAGGTAATCAATTCCAGAGTACAGCACCCGGTCTGCTAAATGATCTGTCTCCGTATGTTGTGGTTCGGACAAATGGAATAGCCTAGCTGACTAGCAATGAAATGCATCTCAAATTAAACTTCAGGAAACAAAATATGCAAGAAACATTTTTGTATGTTTAAGATTGGTAGAGGTCGGCTAGAATGAAACTTAGATATTAAACTGCACAAAAGGCAATTTGAAACTACAATCGCTTGTTCAAATGACTCCCCCCTTCTGTTCACTGAAAGAACTCGAGGAAGAAATGATGGATTTTGTTCAAATTTGGTACCAAGGTTTATTGACGAGATTTACCGACACCACTTGAATTTAGTGACCTTGAGGTCATTTTAAAGGTCACAGCGAAGGTGTAACAGTTTTGCACATGCCAAGCTTGGTAGCCGCGAAATTAGGAAAGCATTAATAGATTTTGATCCAATTTTATATCAAGGTGTTGGCGGGAATCCCCCTACACCAATTAAAACAAAATATGCAAAAAACATGTTGTATATTGGTAAAAGTCAAACTTAGATAATAAACTGCACAAAAAAGCAATTTTAAACTATAATCGCTTGTTCAAGTGACTCCCCCTTCATGTTTACTGAAAGGGCTTGTTTTGGAGACACTACCCACCCCCTTTCAGTTGACGTCATCATAAGGATATAACTCATGCTAAAGTTTTCACTTATTCATACATGGTGTCAAGGGTTCAAACTAAATACTGAATGGTCACACAAGTGTCAGCTCTCAATATGTTGTTTATCTGGACACAATGTTTTTGAAAATTTAAAATGAGGGTGTCCTAAAAACCAGTCCCCGTCTAAATGTAAATCAAGCAATCCAAATCTTTGAATGTTGATGATGACGGGAAGTCATCCAATACTATGCTGAACACAGTTTATATGATACTATCTGAGGTATACCATTATCCAAAAGATAGCGCAATAGTGCAGTTGTAAGGCGTCTGCCTATCACGCTGAAGGCCCTGTTTCGAGGAGGCACCGAGGTTCGGTTCCCGAGATGGGCACATTGCGTAGTATCCTTGGACAAGATACTTAGATCTACACTGTCTCAGTTCACCCAGCTGTAAAATGGGTACCCGTGAGTATTTGCTGGCTATGTGAGTGTTTAGTTCATTGCGCCTAACAGGCAGCATGGCTGTACAGTCCCCAGGGGAGTTGAAAAAGTATCGGAAACTACGATAGTGTCCTATGATCGGGGATAGTAATGTACGTAGCGCCGTGAGCAGGCAATGTGCCTGGATGTGAGCGCCATATAAGCGGACTATTTTCCATTTTCTACAAATTTGCAAGAAACATAATACCCCAATGTTGTGATGACTAATATCTCGTTAACCACATTACCCACATGAAATTTTGGATATGACTTTGCTAATGACTCCTTCATAATAAAATGGAAGCTTTTTTCAAACATTGGACATCGAGAATATAGTTAGTTTGACTACATTTTCAACGCCCCTCGTAACATACTTAAAAGAAATGAGAACGTCTAAGGAAAAAAAGCATTTCGATCTCTGAATACTTCTGAGCTATTTAAATATAAAAAGCAAAGGAATAAAGTAAATAATCTAAAAAGAATAGCGAAGGGAAACATTAAATCTATTTTTGATAACTATTTATCACCTCAGTCTACTCAATCAGGTGGTTACTACTTCATCGGGGCCCACTCCCCTTCTTGTCACTGATGATTCTGGGATACCTTCAGTTTTTACAGATTTGGATAAAGCTCAAACATTAAATGAATATTTTGTATCTGTTTCAAATGTTACTGATGGCGGCAAGACTTTGTCACCTGTTAGCCATCGCTGTGTTAACAGTATAACAAATGTCATTGTAACCGAAAAGGAGGTATCTGATAAGACCTTACCAGCAAACAAATCTAGTGGACCTGATGGCATTGAGTGTTAAATAGAATTTTTACATCTATAGCTGAACCTCTTTGTTTGTTGTATAATATATCACTGAGTGACTGTATTTCCTACATTGTGGAAAACGGGTAATGTTACTCCTATTTTGAAAGAAGAAAATGCATCCCTCCCAACTAATTACAGACCTATTAGTTTAATACCTATCCTTTGGAAAATCCTTGAAAGAATAATGGTAAAGCATGTGCACGACCATTTCCATGAACATCCTATTTGAAGTAAATTCCAGTCAGGTTTTACTGCTAGTCATTCTACTACATCTCAACATAGACATTTATCATAATATATGCTCAGTCCTAGATTATCACCACCTTTACTGTATGCTGTTTTGTGATATTTCAAAAGCTTTTTTACAGGGCATGGCATAAAGGTTTATTGCACAAATTAGAAAATGATGGTGTTCGTGGAAACGTACTTAGTTGGTTAACTAACTATCTATCTGGGCCCGGTTGTTCAATACTCGGTTATCTTAACCGCCGGTTAACTCCTAACGGCCGGTTAAATCCTTAACCGGCCGTTAGGTAACCGAACGTTAAATATGCGTTGTTCAAAACATGGTTAGTCATGCCGTTAGCTAACGTCGCCGTCAAAGTTTAACAGTGTGGTTATCGTCACTGGTTAGCTTCCATATATCCCATAGTTCCGTTTTCTGTTTACTTCCGGTTTACCAAAAATGGAAACGCAAAATGTCGCCTGCACCCCAAGGAAAAAGGTGCAGAATGTAATCCAGTCAATGGTTGAGGCCAACTCTATAGTTTATCATAGGCATGCGAATGTCGTAGCGTTAAGAACGTTTTGTATTGGAACACAAGGTTCCAGCCGTTTGCATAATTTATATTTCAAAGACATATGATCCCAGCTCTGTGTGGGACTTACTTCAATTCCAGCAACAGAAAAGACATTTTAATGACTGACTGACTGACTGACTGAGTTTGGTTTTACGCCGCTTTTAGCAATATTCCAGCAACATCACGGCGGGGGGACACCAGAAATTCGCTTCACACATTGTGCCCATGTGGGGATTCGAACCCGGGTCTTCGGCGTGACGAGCCAACGCTTTAACCATTAGGCTACCCCACCGCCCCACATTTTAATGAACAACTATACCACAGCTATAGATAAAATATGATGAATAAAATATGATG